CTCCTACCTTTTGTTGTTGTTTTTTTAAATCCATGCTCAGTTAAATGGTGTCTTCGAACAACTCACCTCCACGGAAGCCAAACGTCAAGGCATACTCCAAAAGGAATCAAAAGGCAGAGATCACTTTGTGAGGCTCCATTCTCAGCACCGCTAAGTGCTGTCCAGACCTAACCGCACCCTGTGCATTGCAGATCAAGGAGGCGAAAATGTCACCAGGACAGGCAAGTCTGTCAAAGAACCACGGAAAAGTCATGGATTATGGTTGTGGTGACTTTTGTGTAAAAGAAACTAAAAGGCCAGAAGAAAGTTAAAGGAGCCGCAGGATTAGGGCCGATTAAGGTATTTAGGTTCCCACTGAACCTCACCTCTAACCTCGTGTGTTATTGGTACCTAACTAAGTTATCCATCACTATTCGGGCTCCGTACGCCGCCCCTTTTATAAGGGCAGACGTTTCAGTCAGCAAGAAGCCAGCCTAAAATAAATCTTCAAGGACGCCGGAGAAGCAGAACGAAGCGGTACTTATTTTTATTTTATTTTTCCCCCCTCCACACCGCTTCGACACCCTTCAGGTTTTGCTTAGTCACGGCGGCGGCTCAGTTTGAAGTGGCGCCATTGGAGCAAGTGCCGGCGGCGCTGCACTGTGCCTCCGCGGCTGGCAAGCGGGCAGAGGGATGCCCTCTTTACGCCGCCTCTCCGCCCAGAGGGAGGGGGCAGCTCTCCCTACACCCCCGCCTCAAATTGTGCACGTCTCCTCATCCTTCCTGGTGCCACTTTTTTTCCGCTCTCCCGCCCCCACCACCCCCACCCCTCTCTTCCCCACTTTTTTACGTTACGCGGCGCTTGCCTTCCCGCGCCTGCTGCTACCTCGGTCCGCCGCTTCTTAGTCCCGTTAGACGCGCAGCCGGAAAGCAGCCTTAAGGGCAGCCAGCGGCGCTCTCTGCGCTGCAGTGCCTCCTCGTCGATTCGGATTGGCGGGCAGGCGGCCGACGCCAAAGTCGGGCTCCCCCACCGCCCGCCCTGCATTCGCTTCCCCGAGCCGCCTTAGGGCGGAGCGTCTCCTCGGCTGTCCCCTTGGCAGCTGGGTTGCTGCAGGGCACGATGCCGCCGCCGCCGCCGCCGCCTCCTTTTTAGCTGCTTTGCCAGCGCTGTGGATGGAAATAACGGTAGGAACTTTATTAGGAGTAACTTCTTAGGAAAAGAAGAAAGGAACAGGAAGGAAAGGAAAGGAGAGAAGGGGAGGGGAAAGAAAGGAAAAAAGAAGAAAGGAAACAAGAGAAAAGGGGAAGAGAAGAGAGAAAAGGAAGGGAGAAAGGAAACGAGAAAGGAAAGGAAAGGAAAGGAAAGGATTAAAAGTGTGATTTTTGCCTTCCACAATCTGACTCCTTAGTTGCATCAGGATTCAACATTAGGTGGTCCAGGAAAAGGCAAGGTGGATCCTTGTGTCTTAGCTCTATCCCAAACCCACAAACCTGGAGGGTAAGAGTTCTGTGGGCATTTTAAAGATAGCAAGGCAGAAAGATAAATGGCTTGGGGATTGCAGAGATTACTTCTTTCATGTCCTGGTCCTGCCTCAAGAGCACTCCTCAGACAAGGAAGAGGACCCAGGATAAGGCATTTTTGAGCTGAGAGGACCAGTGAGATGCTGGGCAATCTTATAATTTCTGTCTTGCCCAAGACTCAGTTGATTCTATCCCCAACCAAGAACCTTCTCAGCCAGTCTTCAATAACACTTTCTTGAGGATAGATGATATCAGAAGAGAGAGAAGTTGCACAGGATTAGGCCCAGCTGCACACAACTGATAGTATTTAGGGAGGTAAATATTCAGTTTGTGCTTGGTAAAGCCAATCGAATAATGCTATTCTATGAAAGAATTCATGGATGGAAATTGCCAGCGCAAAAACATTTTTGAATTTGATGAGACACATCTTCTGGCATATCTTGACTGCTCTTTCTGATGCTGCCATTTTGTTAAATCATGTATGTGCTGAATTTGGATTAAATTTTCAACAGTGGGGTTAGCTTGACAATTTATTATGGCAATAACCAGATATAAACAATTTTTTTACTAAGCCCAGGACAATTTAACATCACATATTCTCTAGTGATGTTAAATTGTCCTGGGCTTAGTTTTCTGTTTCGCTGTCACTGACGATGCCATTTGTGAATATATGTATTCAAAATTCTAAATATAGCTATTGAGCTATAAAATATTGCAGATTTCTAGGGTATAATGATCTCATAGAACAGTCCCTCAATTAGTCCAATTTCTTTTCCAGGTATTGATTGCATATGTATACCACTTAGTATAGTGGTGTCCAGGATGATACTTGGATCAACTCTTACATTACAAAGAAATTAAATACCAACTTTTATTATTCCCTTTGTGTCAGAATATGTTAAATTGGGTATCTAGATTAGCAAATCTAGATGTTCAATTTGATTTTTTTTTCATTCAAAGCAGATTTTTTTCAAACTTTCAATAGCTCCATTATTTCTGATAGGAAGGAAAGAAAATATATGTTGTGATGTGCCAGCTAGCTCATATTGATCCATGGTTAGACAACTTTGTATAGAGGCAGCAGTCATAGAACTCCATGACTACTGGTCCTGGATAGGTGATGGTCCCAAACTAGGCACGTTAAGAATTTGTTAGGGGATGTTAGAAATTCACAGGATCCCAGGTACCCTTCTCTGAACCTCCATTTTAAGCCCTTGAGTCACTTCTTTACTGGGAGAGCAATGGACGTGAAAGAAAAATTAAAGAGAAGCTAAGGAAAACCTGTGTATTTGGTGAAAGCAGTTGTCAACCCTGAAGCTGAAAATATAAAGATATAAAATATCATACAGCTGCAGATGTCAGAGGCAGTGCATTTGTGTCTGATTATATACTCAAAAATCTAATTTCCATAATACTGGGAGGAAAAAGTGCAACTCTTTCCCAGCAAAATCCCAGGATCAGAAGCCACTAATACTAGTTGCAAACCACAAAAGAGGCTATCAATTCATGCAAGCAATACATCTGTGCCTTGAGGGGATCCACTGGATTGAAAATAAGGTGGGTAAAATTAGCCTGTGTTAGCATTTAACAAACTGAAAGAGAAGTGAAATACATCCCCTCCCTCCAGTGAATAAAATAAAATTTTATTTCAATTTGACATAATGCTCTGTGCATAAAAATGGAAAGAAACCTTAATTCCACAATGGATGATGGCCTGCAAAAGCTAATGGAGTGAGGAGTTGGCTAACTGACTGCTTTAATTAAAGAATACAACTAACTTTTTTTCTACTTGGAAACCACTTCTGGACTTTATGCTTTGCTTGAGGGGGAAAAATGAAAATTTGATATTGGATTTTGTTGATTAGTTTATTGTCATAGAAATGGCTAGTATGTGGTGTCATGCAAAAGTAAAAAGTTGAGGCGGTACATTACCTTACTCTACTGCACAAGCAAAATTGGAAGTCAACGGTTTTTTCTTTTACCTTACATTTTTTCCTCTTCCCCTTTCCTTTATTCCTTTTCCATGCTTTTCATTTTTCTTTGTAATTAGATTTTGATAAATGAAATTTTAAATTGAAAAAAATATTGGGACTTGAATTTGAGGTGGTTTGAAAGGATTCTCCTTAAGGGATTCTGTATGTGCAATACTTCTGAGGACTTCAGTTATATCTTAATATTAAAAACTTTTATCATAATGTTGTTATAGTGTAATCTTCTGACTGTATTGATTATTTAATGTATAAATATTGATTATACAATGTAAGAGTTTAATGGCAGTGAGTTTTTCAAAGTGCACTCATTAAGACTAATGAGTGCTTTCATGCTGATTCCTTTGGAGTTTTAATTATTTACTTAGATATTTAAATGACAGTTATTTAAAAAAATACTGAAATACCAGCAGCACTTTAAATAAATAAAATAAATAAAAATAAGGACCCAATCTTCTATTTACTAAAAAAAATGCTTAGTTTATCTCATTTCCTTTACATTCCATAAAACATTTCAATTAACTTTTGAGTTTTGTTGGGAAAGATCAAAATCAACTTCTCCATATTGGGAAATGAGTATGTCTAGTGATCCTCAAAGTAGAAAAGGCGGCAATTTGAATTGTTTGCACTTTTTTATCTCTTATCTCCTGAGTCTTTAACCGGACCTTGGATAAAGGACAGTGACACCTTGCTCTCCAGTTTATCAATATTATTTGTATTTATTTTATTATAGAGAGCAGCCCAGAACATCTAGATCGAAATACTGTACACAACCCAACTGTGAACTTCAGCTAAAAACAATCCTATTTTTTTCTTTAACAAATGTATATCTGCAAATTATATTTGTGTGCATATGTGTATATGTAAATATGTATGAGTATATACATACTGTCCAGGAACAGGAACAGGTACAGCACTAATATTGAGTTAAAATGAGAAGTATTAGTGACATTTAATTATCTGAACATATACAGATTATCTGTATCTTACACCTGTACATATTCTCAGATGGAAAAACCCTTTTCATAGAAAGTTAGATTCAAGAAATATCAATCTACAGTATACCAAACATAATTCTCAAGGGAGTTGATTTCAAAAGATGGATGTACTGTAGAAAAAGGGCCCCTCCTGCATGTCTGAAGAAGAAAATCATGAAAGCCTTTACTTGTGTGGTTACATTTGTAATGACTATTCTGCAAATCGGTCTTACTCTGCTTTAATTATAAAATATAGCATTACTACTTTATGCTGTGCTCAGAAAACAGAAAAACAATTTGGCATTATTTTATAGCAACTGCAGTCTTTAGGTAATTTTCAAGGATAGTTCCATGTAAAGTGTAGAGTAGTGTTACAGACAAGACTAGTTGTAAAATAAGCCATGGAGAACATGTAATGGTAAATGGTAAACTCAAAACAGTCTACCTGTAGAGAAGCAAGATTCAGTAAAACGTTTCAATGTTTATAACATTATACAAATAAATTATTCATATTCTTGTATTGGAACAATAAATAGACATTTTAGAATGCTTTATTACAAGCAACAAAGTTCCAGCAAGGCACTTTAACATAATAGCAGCAACAATACTACAGTACTTTACCACTAAAAGTCTAATATATTATTCTAACTATTAGGATTTCGTACAGCAAATTGAATGTGTTTTAAAATCAGAACAATTTTGACATTCACATAAAAGTTATTCATGAAATCAGTGGGATATAAGCAAAACTGAATATGAAAGATGAGGGCAAGGGGTATACCAATTCTCTGAAAAGTATGTTTTCTGCTACCATGCAAATGAGGTTTTTGAAACAGGTCTAACCATCCCTTGTCCCAATGTTAATGAACAGGAAAGAAAACCATTTGAAGAGCTGAGGGAAGCAAAGGATAATCTTCAGTGCTTGTGTAACGTTTAGGAAATGCAATGGGGTTCTTGGGAACAAGAGAAAAAAATGGCTGTTACTTCCCTCTTGCTGTAAAAGTGAGAATGTTTAGAATGAGGGAACATCAAGATAATGGATAATCCCTTTCCTGTGGAAAATACAAAGTGACTGGCTCAGAAGACAGAAAAACTGCTACGAACAGTCTTAATGATTTAGAAAACATAACCCTAGCTTTAGAAGTACAAACTCCTGGGCTAAAATGTTCATCTGCAGCCACCATTGTAGCAAGGCTCCAAATTTTGGATTGAACAAACTCTTCCAGCTGAGAAAAGTGGTTGTGTGGTACCTGCAATGAGCCCTTCGAGAGTGATGGAGCAAAGAGTGCAACTTTGATACCCATTCTGAGGAAAGAGCATGAATCCCTTGCAAATAGGCTCTGAGAGTGAAAACATGCCAGAAATTATGAGCTAGGTCAAACAGGAATGAAACGACATGACGCACAAATTAATTTCTGCAGTTTACTGGAATACAAGACTACAAACAAACTGGCTAGTGCTCAACAAATAAAAAAAACAGAGGTGCTGCACTGATCCCAGCACACCTCAGAAAACTATTGAGTTCAATGTTGGGAAGTCTCTTGAAAGCCAAAATCAATTCCTCAGTCTTCTGATAGGAAAGGCAAAAATCTCCAACACTTTTTGACTGAGAAAATATATCAATAAACAGTCTCAGGAAGAAGGAAAGTGGTCAATCTCAACTGAATTCTTCAATGCCTGAAAGGACAAAGGGATACAAGAATGACGGGACAGGATCAGATCAACAATACAGAAATCTCTTGAGCAACCACCATGTTACATCAAGGTTAGATTGAGAATTTTAAAAACCCAGTGGCAAAACATTTAGGTATTGCTGCCAAGAAAACCAAATGAATAGGTCCATTGTTAAGTCTCCTGCTAATTATTTTTCAAATTTGTATCCGCACACTGCCAACAAAACCAGCCTATGCACGTGGCAGTTTCTTAACAGAAGAATGTGTCAATGGATTTTCTTTTTTTTTTAATGTAAGTCTGCCACTGGAACATATCTTTGTGCAATGTAATGGGACTGGGAATATTTTAAATCCTGAAGAATCAGGATTATGTTGCTTATAGCTTCATGCTTGATGGTACGAAAACTGAATCAGGCAAACAAAGGGAAAGAAAAAGTAATGTCATTTTAAGCAGCACAATCCTGAGACAGGGAAAGGAAAGGCTATTTCATTAAAGAAAAGTTTTAAGGCAACATGTCACGCAACAATGTTGCTGCAGTAAGAGTTCTTGACCAGTTGCATTTCCAAAAAATGTAGACTAGAAACATCTTTTTAATTATTTCTTTTATCAAAGAATTCAAGTAATTTTTAAAAACAGAGTATGAAAATTGAATTAACGTAATAACCTAACTCAACATACAAATGTACAACAAATTAATGCTCTCCAAAAATCATTCATAGATTTAGTTTAGATAGACTTATCACACACGTTTATATAGTAAAATACTACTGCAAAAGGTAAGTATATGAGTATTTTCTTGATTTTTCCAAATAATCCTTTTTTGGAATAGGGATAGGGATGAGGTAGAGTGTAGTATAGTGTAGTGTAGTGCAGTATAGTGTAGTGTAGAGTAGAGTAAAACAGAACAGAATTCTTTATTGGTCAAGTGTGATTGGACACACAAGGAATTTGTCTGCGGTGCATAAGCTCTCAGTATACATAATTATCAGTTTCAATCATTAATCATAGGATACAATTTTCTTTGTCTAATGACTTTATTGTACCTTTAGTACCTTCACATGCAATCAACTTTCTGTAAAATTTATTTTTTAACCATCATACTGACAATAGCTGGGATAGCTGTAATTTTGTAAATATAAAGATATAGATCTTATGCTTACATCCCAGTCCTACTGTGCTTATGTGTATTATTAACATATTCACTATTTACAGAATAAATACTGAAGATCAATTTGAGTATTTCATATTCAAAGGAAATATTTCATTCAAATTCTACTAAAGTTTTAACCATGCAGACAAAATTCTCAGTATTCTAGTTAGTAAAAAATTCTTTTGAAAATAAGATTCTAAAATCAATCATGGGTTTATAACCAGATTTTTCTACAGTTATGTTTTTCCACCAATAATATGGAAGTTAAGATAGATCATGGGTGATGAAATTCAGAATATCAGGTTCTACAACAGAAAGCGTATACTGACTTATTAAAAAAACTTTTATCAAAGGCAAACACTGGAGGTACTGTACATAAGATAAATAGAGAATAGGGTCAATTTTACATTTTTAGATGTTGAGAATCAATAATATTTGTACTCCTAATTACTAGTAATCATTTTCTAATACATAATGAAGAATGAACATAATACATAATGGAGAATGAAGTAACTTCAAGTAATAAAAATAATCCTTTTAAAAAACCTGAAGAATGTAGACGCTGAAGTGTGCTACATGGAATATATCAGAAAACAACTCTTTCTCCTTGGGTTCGTTCCCACCAAAGCATGCTATTTAATGTTCCAAAACTGTCTTCTTCTTCTTGCTCTTTGGCAAGTTCCACGAAAACCTACAAACAATACAATTTTTTTATATGCAACAAATTATCTAAACTCTTTTGATTGATCAAAGGTAGGTGGTAGAGGTCAGTATTCATGAGCCTATTTGTTAGTAATTATGGCATATGGAAAAATTTGACTTGGCATGTAAAACAAAAATATGATGATAAGTTTAAATTAATCAATGAACTTGTGACTACTTTCATATCTGGTGCAGAGATGAAAGTCAAGTTTACTTATGAATGAAATGAGTAAAATCAGAAATTCAGAAACTATAGATAAGTGAGTATCATTTCAATTATTGTTGGTTTTATATGGAATTAGAAAACACATGTATATAAGCATTAGTAAGTATAATACAGGAAAATTATTTGGAAAAATCTGAGTTACCTGTTCAAGGGTTGCTTGAGAAAAGCTGTACTCTTCAATATTAAAGGCATGTTTTGCTGTTTAAAAGAATTTAAAAAACTGTTAATTGTCATTGAAAGACAGGTATCAAAATATTCGATATTAAGATACTTTTCAAAACAACCAATTCCATCTGATGCCAAAATCATTGAACAATTAGATCATTCCAAAAGTCCATGCACATGATTTATTAAATTACTAAAACTACTAATTGCTGAATTGAGACCAAATCAAGTTTTGTGTGTACTCTTAGTTAATCTGTTGGAGTGCTTTTCTCAGTTGGAAGTTATTTCAATTAACAGGAGAAATTCTGTTGGATTTATTTTCCTCTTCAAAGTCTCTTTGGTGATTTTGAAAAGCAAGGGGAAAAATCAGCAACGGTGTACTAGTGTGGAACTGGTTTCCATTCATGGATGTACTTAGTCAAGCACTGTTTACAGGTTAAAGAAAAAAGAATGTTCATTTCTCAAAACACACCTCTGTAACAGTTTTAATGTTCAACTAACTTGTCTACACAACCTGAGAGCAAGTCAGAAAGGCTAGAAATTAGCATATGCAGTCCTTTGAATTTAATCACCATAATGTGACTGGGAACATGAACACAACATCTGTCTGCAATATATTAAAGATCATGTGATCACGTGGCTGCTCTGTGCAGCTGCTTCACAATCCTGCAGATACAGTTGCCTCAGTGTGTTGCAGATAGGTTCATGCTTCCATGCACTTTATGAGACTGAAACAAAAACAGTTTAAAACTTCATTTGTTTCAATCTATATATATAAAAGTGAAATACCACTCATGCGTCATCACAAAATCTCAAGAACCGTAAAGCCTACAAACTTGATATTTGGCATGTATGTTCCTCTTGGCCTCTAAGTGCTCACGAAGAAAGGGTTTTTCAAAACGACTATCACAGCATTAGTATTTCCTATATTATTATTAACACACTCTGATGCTAAGGAGTTCTACTCCTCCTCGCCACCTGAGAAGAAATATGTTCCAAATGCAAAATACAAGCAAAGGACAGGAGTTTCAGTTTCATTTTTAGTTTCACAGCGCCGAACAGCTTTAGTACAGAATAGTTGAGCTAAGCCACGCCCAGGCTCCTTGCTGTCTCCTTGCTCACAGCAAATACTGTTTCAGTTTCCCACCACCCCTCAACTCTCTCACACACTGACAGGATGCTAGCCAGATGAATACCAATGGATGCTGGTAGGCAGAGGCAGAATTTTTTTCCCCTTATTTTCCTCCTCAAAAACTAAGCCCAACTACATAGTTTTGTAGCAAAGCATGGGTATCGAGCTAGTAGCTTGATATATAGTAAACGGAACTGACTGAGCAGAAATGGATGAAACCATGACATGAGATGGCAAAATGATGAGGATGGATTATTAAGAAAGTGAAAAGATTAATAAAGAGACAGACATTCTAAGATTATCAGTTCACTTAGTATTCTGCTACCTTACCTTCCTCAAGTTTGGAAAAAGACAGGGCAAGTGAGTGGACATCTTCCTTTGGGATTTTGTATGATAAAATTGACCTAAAACTGCAACAAATAAAAAGAAAGGAAAACAAGTAGTTTGAATAATATTAGATTTAGGTATATTAATGTAATGTGATTAGATATTTCATCAGACACCAGGATTGTACAGGAGGGTCAATGACTTCAAAATGATAGAGGCAACCAACAAGTGAAGGCCTGCCCCCTTTTAATATGTGTTGTACATTGCACACAAATGCAAAAACAGTATGTACAGTCACTCATCATTTTGAGAATATTGACCTTGCCTATGGACATCACTGATAAATACAACTGTTTTATCTTTGCTTTATCCATTTATGAATAATAATAATAACTACTTATTAGATACCTTCATTGAGATATAGTATAAATCGGAAAGACAGTGATTACAGAATTCCATATTGTATACTAAATATAATTCATAATTTAATAGCCAAACCAGTAAATAAATGTTCATCACTGAAACATGTTTAGAAACAATGCACTCTAATACAATTGACCATATGCTCATTGCATAAAACCAGAATTAATGTAAAACTGCCAAGATTAATGGATGGAATAATCAGACCGTACACCAGGGCTGTCAAAGTCCTGGCCTGTGGGCCAGATGCGTCACGCACTAGCCATGCCCATGCCTTGTTTAGCAAAGGCGGGGAAGTCTCAATATGTCACGTGAGGCCGACGTGACGACACGAGTTTGACACCCCTGCCCTAGACTAACTGGCAGTCATATAAAAAAGCTTTTCATCCCCCTTGAAAGGCCAATAAACTTTATAGAGATGAAAAGACAAAATGGGAACTGATTACAGAATTGCAAGGCTAGGATCCTGAAAGAAGCCAAAGACTACAATTCTGAAGGGAGAAACTGAAGGATGGTCTGATGCAAAGGAAATAAGGAGTAAAAAGGATTGCCAGGGTTAAGATAGATATTGAGAAATTTGTGACCAGAGAGCTCCAAATATAAGTACCAATGGTTTTAACTGGGTGTTGGTTCAAATAAGTAGAGCCTTTTGGTACAGAAGAACCTGAGCCTTTTGGTGCAACAGAACGTAAGAAGATTGGGAATTATTCAGATCATTGCACATGGAACTATGCTAGACCAAGACCTAAAGAGGACACAAAGAGGAACACCTGCCAGAAGACTTGCAGTAATCTAAGAGTACATAAAAACTACAGCAACCACTAATAAAGCTATTCTCTTCTCCATTGTTTGCCATCCTCTTCCTACAATTATTCATCGCAACTTTGTTTTTATAATATTTATCTTTTCATTTATCTTTTTATATTTTTGTAATATATTTTGTCTGTTATATTTATAATTTTTGCTTATATTAGGTCATTGAACCGCACCCAGAATCACTTTTTGTGAAATGAGTGGCTACACAAATTTGATAAATAGATAAATGCAAATTAGTGACCCTTGCTCTAAGATTACCAAATGGGTGTTCTGAGATGGGAGGCTGTAAAGAATTGATAAATAAATACAAATAAAGCCAGCTGATCATCAATAAAAAAAACTTTGAGGCTGCAAGTGAAAGAAATTAAGACACCCAAGGTCCCTGGAGAAAATAAGCGAAGACACAACACAGAACAAGAAGGATAATCAGGCCAAATATGATGTCTGACTTATGCATATTCAACTGGAAATGATGGGAAGACATTCAAGAGGGAATGCTAGTAAGATATGGGCCATGCATTGTCATCAAGGGTCACAAAAGACCAATAGACAAAGCATTATCAGGGTATCAATGATACTGAAAACCCTACCTGTAAATCAAGAAACTGATAAATAAATAATCCAGTTAATCAGGGAATTTGAAGGATAAATAAAACAGAATATAGGACTGATCTCTGAAAGACATTTAATATAAATGGAAATTGCTGAGAGTGTAGTCCACCATGCAGTATTGCAGAGGAAGGAGAAGACAATTTTTATATCAATCATGCACATTGGCAATGATGCTCAGGAAGCATAATTTAACCAGCAATATTTGGTGGTTGAGACTGTCAAATACTGCCATCAGGTCCAAAAAGGACTGGCAATAGCAATAAAATGTTAAGATTTTAGCATGAATGAAATATCATTCAGTGTTTGACAAAGTGTTTTCTTAGTTGAGTCCCTGGCTGAAATCCTGATAGTTATAGATTAAAAATGTCATTAGAAGACAATAAAAAATCAATTGTGAGAGGATACTCTCAGAAACCTCAGATCAGAAAAAGGAAACAGAGACCGAATCCAGTAATCTGAAGACAAAGAGGGATCCAAGGAAAATTTCTCCAATAAGGGCAAAAAAGAAACATGCTTTAATATATATATATATAAAAAAGAAGACAGCTAGTAGATGAAATGGGCATTCACCACTTTATTAAAGGAAAAAAGTCCCGAGTCCTTACAAGAAAGAGAACAGCTGGGAGACAGCACACTCTAGTTTAGTAGTGGATAATGCTAATAAGGGGGGAAACTGGTGAGAAGTCCTGGTTTGAAAAATGAATGACAGCTTGAAACAAAGCTTGCTTTGTCTCTTGCAGGTGATGAGAATAATTATCCAAAGTTTCTGCATCTGGTTGGAAGAAGTTCTCTCCAGGTGCTTTTCTGGCCTATTGGCAGCCATCTGAAGGACACCAGGTCAAGTAACTGGCACTAAGATTGAAGGATGTTGAAAGCCTTTCCAAGGCTTACTCTCTGTCCCATCATAGGCTAAACAAAATTAAGGCTAGGCTATTTGAATTTCAATTTACAAGGACAAATATCCATTTTCATTATCATATTTAGAAACCACCCAACTCCAAGATGTAGTTGAAATGAAACTTTCTAAAAACCCTTTAAAACTAAAATAGCCTTTATCAAAAGGTTAACAAGAAATCTGAATTTCAGACATAACAATCAAAACACTATAAAAGGAGCTTAGAACATAGATACTTAAGCAAAAAGTATTACAAATAGGAAACTATGAGGAATGGGACTGTGAAATGATCCCCACTAATCCTGTAGTGAATGACTATACAGGTACACACAGATGGCAGCCTCTATTTTAGCCTTAGTGAAAAGACTGTACATCTCTAGGTAAGGGATGAAAAATTAAAAACTACAATAAAATCCTATCAATATAATTATCCTGTAATATTAGACCTGCATATAACAGTTCTAAAATAAATAAGTATATTTGTACAATATATACAAATGTCAACATTTATCATTAAGATTCTAGTGATTAGATGTAATTTTCTATTATATATACCGAAAATTACAAGAAACACTAAATATGGATTATATGAAAGACATTTTGTCCTTGGAGACTAAATGCTCTGCAATTTTTAAAACATCCTATTCTTCCTTTGGACACAAAACCAGTTTCTTTCAGGACCATACTGTGAACGGACCATGTTACAGCTGGACCAGCATGTTCCATAAACTAATTATATAATACATTTAATTTCATACATTAACTGGTGAATCTAAAGTAGAAGTTTGGGCTTCTCAAATTGCATCTTTATGATTTTTTTTAAAATTGATTAAAACTTAGAAGTCAAGATTTTACCTAGCTGATAAAATCAGATCAGATTAACTAATGGGAAGGGCCTAGAGTGAATTAAGCACTACTGTAATCAAGCATGTCGCCATCCATCCATTATTCTCTCTAATCCTTATGCTGAGTGTAATGAGACAGCTCTAGTATGAGAAGGAATTGATTAATAGCCACTTGACTTGTAACAACAGCCTTTTACCTTTCCTGAGGTCTTCCATTGGGAAAGATACGCAAAACTGCCCTTTGGAGCTGTTCCTTCATCTGTAAATCTGGAACTTCTTTTAATTTCATTTCTAAGAAATATCCTTTGCCAAATTTAGTCTTGAGGTGTTGAACTGTACCAATGCACCTATCAATTGTTTGGGGCAGGAAGAAGAGAAAAGCAGGCAAAAATAGATTTGATGTTAAAATCACTGTTGGTGTTAATTGTAAATTTGGTTTCTTTTTTCCCCAATACCTCAATATCTAGAGAAGGTACCTCAATTTTCCAGACACCAAGATAGCCACTCGATCACACACAGCTTCTGCTTCTTCCATGTAATGAGTAGTCAGAATAGCTGCTCTCTTTTTACTTTTAAAGGCTGCTCGGATGGCTTTCCTATCAAACATAATAGATACTCAGGAAAAAAATAGTCTTGCTAAGCCAGCTCTTCTTTATATCATAGAGTCCCAATCTGATTAGTGTAAGGAAATACATTAATCTTTCCCAAAACTAAAGCTGCAGCTAGGAAGAACAAGTGGGAACTAAATCCAGGTAAAATGAAGCTGCTGCTGGTAAGAAAATAAATAAATAAATAAATAAATAAATAAATAAATAAATAAAGTTCTGTTCTATTTTAGATATCATTGCTCATCCCTTGAAAGAGTAAGTTTAAAGTCTGGAAATGCTCATTGCTCTTCAACTCTTCCAAATATAAATAAATGATGGCTAAGGCAAGGAGTATTATTTATTTATTTGGTTTCTATGTTCCTCCATTCCAAAAAGGTCTGAGCAACTTTCAGGAAATAAAAAAGAGATAAAGCCAATTAAAAAAATACTTAACAATTAAATATAACCAAGCTGTTATGCCACAATTCATAAATAGAACTCACTTTGTTAGGTACAAGCAACCATAGCTACATGTAAGAGTTCAAGTTGACTGACTGACTGACTGACTGAGTGAGTGAGTGAGTGTATGGCATGTGTTAACCAGGAATCACTGAATGGCTGGCTGCCTCTGAAAGGAATTTTTGGGGGCAGTGTTATCTTTACCTGCAGGACACCTGAATGCCGGTAAGCAGTCAGGAGGCTCTTTTCTTGTCTCTCCACGGTTTATTTGGTCACAGGAATCAAGCCGCCAACTGCTGACCTCAGCGGTGGCACAGGCCCCACATCTTACCACGTAAGCCATCACGGCCCCATTACTTTATTATATTGTACCTATACAAGAATCTCCCCTGACTCTCCCTTCTTTGGAAACAAATATAAAGTTCCTGAATCTTAGGGAAGACAGTCCTCCATCTCAAGGCTTGATCCCTCCTCCTTGTCTGGCTAGTAGTTGCCGAACACACATCTTCAATAAACTCTAATAAAAATAGTTTTTATGACTCTTTAGAAGATTAATTGGGAGGTCCCCCCAAAACAGGGAGTAAGCTGTTCCACAAGGGACAGGGACTATTTATTTATTTAGAAATTTTATATTGCTGCCTATTCCCACATGGCAACTCAAGGCAGCTTACAGGAATATAAAAACTATCATTGAGAAAACTTGATAATGGGGTTCCTGCTGATAATATTGTCTTATTCAGAAAGCCTTCTCTGACTGTGTCAAGCAGGCAAATTAAACTTGGAGAAGACAGCTTCAGAGAAATTTAAGCCCTGAGCCATAAAAGTAATAGTTAGCCCCCTGAATTGCACTTGGAAGCTAATCAGCAGACAATGCACCTCCCATAATAGAAGCATTAGATGGCCAAGTCAGGATGCATCCATAATTCCTGGGTCGCTATATACTTATGTTATTAGGTATTTCTGCTACTTTTTACTAGAACTTTGCTAATTAATAAGGTGAGTTAAAAAATTGAGTTTACAGACAGGGATGAGGAATGGAAAGAAGATGTGTTTTATGAGATAGTGATGAGTTTTTTTTTAATAAAGCCACTTTTGGACTTTTTGTGAGAAAGTAGGGAACACAATTTTTATTTTGGGATTTATTAGAATTATACAGAATTATAGAAGTAATATGAACTATCATTAATTTTAGAGTGAGAGTTAAGATGTATTATTTATATATGTACCAAAGAAAGTTGAAAGCCATTTACTATTTTCTTTTTCTTTCATATTTATCTTGCTTTTTCGTCTTTATTTCCTGTTTTCTTGCTTTTAGTTTACTTTTTGTTTTCAAAATTTAACAAAATCATATTTTTAAAAGGGGGAATACATCCGCACCTCATCATTATCATGGCTGGTTGCATAATCAGCCAAATGTTTAGACTGGATTTGTCATTTTTATCCACCTATCAAATCTTTCCAAGGACCTGGGATAGGCAGATCTTATCTGATAGTGTTAAAGGTATCAGTCAGAGGATGTAAGCTGTTCCAAGTAAAGCTGCCTTTTGCAACTGATTGATGGTTATTTTGTCAATGCCAATGGTGTTCCAAGTGGTGCTCCGGCCATTTTGGAATTGCACCCAAGGCACCTATTACTATTGGTACTACCTTTGCTTTCTTTGCTCTTATTTCTAACTGAAGGTCTTTGTATTTTGTGATTTTTTTTCCAGTTCTTCTGTTCTGCTGCAACATCCACTATCCAGCCTTTTTCGTCTCAAGTCTGCAATGTTATGTGATGAGTGCTCTTTGAATTCTAAAGTCCCAGAGCACTTTAGCTTCTTCATTTTCTATTACTTTGTCTATTTTTAGTGTCAGCAGTTCTCTCTTGCAGGCAAATGGTATTATTTGCAGATATTCCAATGCACCATAATTGCTATTTTGTCATGCCATTGTTTGTAGGCAATCTGTGCAATCTTCTTGCAGAAGCTAACTTGGCAATCCACTGTTTCTTCCATTTCTGTACAGAGATGGCATTTGAAATCTGTTGCTCAATACTTTATCTCATTTATTCTCAATTATGAGATGTAGTCTTAACTCCCACATCCAAGTTATTGCTTTTAAAAAGCAATTTACTAAATTTTCTCCTTCAACTTGAGCTATAGCCATTAAAAAGAAATCTTTGAGTGAGGTTATGTGAGTCTGTCTAACATTAGTATCCTCTAGCCATGTTTTGCTTTTTGAAAACTTATTACTGAGCCTAAATTAGCTGATGGGTATAATATTCTTAGGCTACAATATTTTTCAGAGGAAAAAAGATAGCAGTTCCCTTTAAACAAATGCTGCCTAGTGATACTTTAAAAACTATGATCCTGCATGAATCCATGAAACTGAATCAAGACCTCTGCAATCTAAGATTCCCCAAATTTATTAAACTGGACAGTAAGACAAAAATGATTAAGGAGGCAAATGGTAACTAGGAAAGGTGAGCAAGGATGATAGCAGCATTTGAATAAATGGAAGTTATGCCAACAATCTGGAAATTTGTGGTTATTCTTGTAGAACCTCTGCAGCAATAGGACCTGCATTGTACTATATGTCATAATAAATGTGTTATTTTTCCAAACTTCCCAACTGAAAATTATTATTCTATTTTAAATTTTATTGATGTTGCCATTTTCTATTTCAGGGTTAGAGAACAGATTCTCTTCCAGTGGTGAATCCACCAGATTATCTATGTAGAATGAAGAAAAGCTCCCTTTATCAATTGTCAGAGTTTTATATTCTGATGCCTTCCCTGATCACAATGTTGGGTGCCACCCAGTCAGACTGGCACTACTGCATTCTCTAATCTGCAATTAATTTTACACCTTCAAAGAGCAAAGAGAAACCATGAAGAAAATAAGGAGAGTTGACGCAATTGTTAGGTAAGAGAAGTTTCTATCTCTGTGTATTGTTTATGGCTATTTGTTTTGAAAGTGTTTTGAAATACAAAGGCCATTAGTCTTCATAAGATCTGTTAGGCTAGATGTTTAGACCTAAAGACATATGGGGAGAGAATAGAAGCCTTTTTCTGCTTCTTGGGATCACAACTTTCCAATATGTTCATTTTTGTTTCTATTATGAGCATTGTCTTTGTGCCAAATTTGTTATGCCTAAGTTATTTTTTATCAAGAGACCCTTTAAAGGCTATAGAGTGAATCCTTCATTAACCACTACCCACTCTGACTTGCTGTGCAACAGAATAAATATATTTAAAGTAAATAAATGGTTGTGATTTCACATTAAATTCTTGGTATCACTTACCACATTCTTGGTATCACTTACCACATGTGCTGTTTTGCTTTGGGGTCCATACCAGTAGATGGTTCATCTAGTAGAGTAATGTGAGGACTACCAAGCATACTTAAGGCAAAACATAGCTAAAAAGAGAGACCAAGGTTGGGGGGAAACACATCAATAATGGTTATTTATTTTAGGTAAAGCGAAAACAAGCAAAAAAAAAATCACTTCAAGATGCAGTGCATCCATACAAATTAAAGTCAAAGCTTCAGAAACTCTCAAGATTTTCTACCTCCTCTATTTTCAAAGAAACAGCAAATTTCATTTTATGTAACAGAGCACATGTAAAGGAGGAGATTTAAATAACCCGATGGCAGTTTTAGTTTTATTCCTCCAGACAAAAAGATATTTGGGATACTATCTTACAATACATTTATAGCCATGATAAAGGTTAAGGGGAGGAACATTGTTCTCTGCTTGCATAGTCAAAAGTGTATGCCATTATTTGTTATTCACCATAGCATGAATAAGAAAGTTAACTCTTTCAGAAGAAAACCAAACCTTTCGTTTGATTCCTGCTCCAAGTTTCTTTACTTTTTTCTGTAGTTGCTCCTTAAAGTCAAGTGCACTGGAGATGCTGGAAAAACAAAAGACCTCCCTCATTTTTTGAAAGGGTATACTTGTAAGCAGTGTAAACAAAAAAGGCCCCAATCTCTTGGTCTTCCACAAAGGGATCAAAATCTTGGTTCTGCGGCCTTGCGAGGGGGCCCACAGAGAATGCAACGGTGGGGCTGGCTAGTCCTATGAGAGCCCCCCCACCATGCATTATAATAACTAATGTTAAATGTCCATCTTAGAATTTTTACCCTTTTGATGTTTACCCTTTAAAAGTTTTAATCCTATTTTAATGTTGATTTTTATACGTTGTTTTATTTATTACATTTGACATTGCATATCACTGAGAGTCTCTTTTTGAGGGATATGGGTGGTTTAGCAATATGAAAATAAATAAATTGCTCTGACCCAGATCCCCAAACATGACAAACCCTCTGTATTTAAATCAATGGTTCCTTTATTAGGAGCACCAGCAGCCCCGGCAAAAAATTTTCTCTCTCAACGCAGGCTAACCAATCTGTCTGGCAGGGAGATGAATAGTCGTCTGCCACATCTATTCATCTCTGCCCCCTGCCGTTGATCCCCAGAGGGTGGGGCTTTGCAAGTAGCGGTGGCTCTTCCTTCCCCGGGATCGACCCACAGATTTCCACTACTCTCCTCTCTGCCTTCTGTGCATCCATGCATCAGTCACTGGATCCAGCTATTCCTCCTGTTTCTCATCAGCCACCTCCAGACCTGGGGGCTGTTGACTCTCCATCTGAGGGCTGACGGACGGCCCAGGCTGCACCTCTCCCTCTCTCTCTTTCTCTCTGACAACTCCATTCCCTGTCCCCGCTTGGAGCTCCCAGGTTGCCCTGGTGCTGATCTTGACCACCAATGCCTCTTCCTCATCTGATTTGGCTGCTGGAGGGGCCGGTGGCCAACAGGGCACAATATAAATATGAGATATCTTTATATTCATGTTTTTCATCATACTAATTAAAGGGCTGAGAAATATCAAACAACAATTTTAACAGCAAATAATGGTTTCAACTATCCAAAAAAGTCGACAGTTTGGACAGTTGACACTATGATGTCAGTACATGCTAATGAATGTATTAACATGTATTAATGAATTTTTAGCATGTATTAATGAATTATTTTTCTCCATTAGTAGTGTCTTACCATTTTATGACTTCTTTCAAGTCACTTTCATTCATTCCTTTGATCGCACCATATATTTCAAAATGTTCCTGTAATGTGATTTCAGGCCAAAGTGGGTTTGTCTGTGGACAGTACCCCACAAACCTCATGGAATCATCCTCATTATTATCACCTGAATTGAAGTCTCCCATCAGCACCTGTAGATACACCGTTGTTTTCAGATGATGATTCTACTTAATACACCAGAAGCATTTAAAAGTTATCATATGAACACCTTACTGAAATGGTAATAATAGGATATATTAGCTCAAGATTTCAGTTCTCTTTAACTAGTGTGGTATAGTAGTTCAAACAAAGGTCAAAGTTTCAATTTCCACTTTTCCACTGAGCCCCCTGGGTAGATTCTTATCAGTCTATTCTATAGGATAGCTGTTCTCCAAATACAGTAAGATGAAGGGTGACTGAAGACATGTGATCTGGAGTTCCTAAGAAGAAAGGATGGTTATAAGTGAAATATATAAAAAGAAAAGGGCTGAATCCATCCATCCATCTGGATAGCTCTAATTCCTAATGGGGTTTAGATTTGGGGACATTTCTGAAAAGAAAATGATATATGATTACACTCCACAATGTAGCCCTTTACTATTATTCCCTTCCCCAATTTTGTTGAAGTGCACATTTTTGTAGTCAGGTCATTTTATTTATTCTTGTTCAATTCAAAGTATATCAAAGTATACAATGACCACAAAAAGAGGATAATATGAAGACAAATACATGAAAAGCCATCAGTAGGCACATCACTGGTAAGACATATACTTCCAGTGCTATTCTTTCATCATTCATAATATATAAAATATATATAATATATATATGTATGTATGTATGTATGTATGTATGTATGTATGTATATGTTTTCTTAAGTTTTCGCGGGTACTTACATGTATGGTATTCAGCTTTGTTCGGGTATTTTCCCATGTCATTATAGTTGTACTTTTAAAGTTGTAGCAGCATTTCGGCAGAATCTCATCTGCCATCATCAGGCTTCTGTATTGTGTTCGTCAGATGTATGTCTGTATGTGTACATATATATGTATGTATGTATGTGTGTGTATATATATATATATATATATGATTAAAATCAATTACCTGGCCTGAATTTGGTTCAACTTCTCCCACCAGAATATTTATTAGCGTACTTTTTCCAGCTCCATTTGGACCTAGCACTCCCAGTATTTCCCCTAAGGAAAAAAATATATCAGAGTCTGCAGTTTTTGCTTGGCAAGATTATCCATCTTTTTTTTTTTTAATGCTGAGTCCATCATAAATAATTTTAACACTAACCTTTTTTAACACATAGGGATACACAATTAGTTGCCACTTTCTTTATTTTTCTTCCAAGAAGAAAATCACCCTTTTCATCATATTCTTTCTGCAAACAGTGGACTAAAACCGCTGGTTTCTAATGAAAAAAGAATGCAGAAATTACATCTGAGCTAGAATGAATGTAAAACATTACTTTAAATGGACAAAAGCTTAGTCAGTAACCTGGTTCTTCTCAATTAGAACATAAAAATGAATGTACATAGCTAAAACATTTCAGATTTGGGGGGGGATCACTATCTCCCCTTTCCTACACAATCAATATTGAACAAAAATATTCTTTATTTACATTGTGTGGGAAACAGGCTTAATTATGTTTCCCAAATTGGTTGTGGTTTCTGCCACTAGGAGGTGTGGTCTGAACAATCATAGGAAAAGCATTCTTATTTCCCAGTTCCTGCTATATATCATTGTACAGTGGATCACAAAGGAGCTAAAATGAAGAGATCCTGGAATAGCAACATACAAAATGTACAGAGACAGGATAAATACACTAATAATACTTTGCACAAGAACAGCAACGAACTATTTTTATTTTTCTTGAATGCAGAAAGAAGGGAGTGATTTTGGGGGGTGGGGAGAGAATATATTGGTTTTAGGTTTCTATAAAATGTAACCAGGCCCAGCCTCATAGAATGTCAGTTTCTTCATCAGCTGTTTCCAGGCTACCTAAGCAAATTACCCCCTTTCAATCCTGGTTTGCAGTAAGGAGAGAGCGCTATGTGGGGATGGGAAGATTTACCTCCTCACAGCTTTGACAAGTGATCAGTTCTTTAACCCTCAGCCTCTCTGCTGTAACATCTTCATCTTCATTCTCATCGTGCAGCACATCCGGGAGTTTCCGGGGCTTGGGCTTCATAGGTGTTCTGAAAACAGTAAAAAGATTCATTCTCTAAAAAGGTTCTTTGAACAGACAAAAGAAACAGGAAAATGTTCCATGTAATATTTAAAAATAAGGTAAGTCAGCTGCAAGAGCCCTCAAATTAGCCTGTCCTTAATCGTAAAACATTCCCAAGGGTCATCATGTGAGGAACAATTCAACACAACAGGAAAAAAAGCTACAGTTGCAAGTCTGCCCCTTTGCTTAAATATCTGTCAGGAAAAAGAAAAAAATTCAGATCACATACTTTAAAGCAGTGGTCTTCAAACTTGACAGCTTTAAGACTTTTGGACCTCAACTCCCAGAATTCCTCCTCCAGTCATGTTAGCTCTGGAATTCTGGGAGTTGAAGTCCACAAGTCTTAAACTTGCTAAGTTTGAAGACCCTTGCTTTAACGTCTAGGAGGCTGTTATATTTAATGAAAGATGATCAATGGAAAAGCTCAGGAGAAACTAGATCTTATGTAAAAATAAATGGTAATGCCCATTAATTCAAATGAAGCTGTAGAATGAGTGATGATCAACACAAGGATATTTGCAGATTCACTACCAAACAATTTATAAAACATATGATTAGCGGAAGGCATTCACAAATATATTAGCAAAGGACTGGAAAATTGCATTTAAAAATATTGGGAAATATTTTTTAAAAGAGATATAGGGGGTCCTCACTTAACAACCACTTGTTCAGGGATTATTCCAATTTGTGATGTAATCTTTATGATTGGGTCCTGAGTTTTTCCCATTGTAGATGCCCAGTTGCATGGTTGCCATTTGTATCCTTTTTTCTTGGCTTCAATGGGGATGCCGCCAGGTAACAAAATGGTGACCAAGTGATGTTCTCGCTTAACGGCCCGCAGTAATTTACTTCATGATGGCAACCTGGAGTACTGGGACTACTGTTGCTAATTCACATCACATCCTGTTTTATGATCATGTCACTTAGCGACGGCAAATCTGGTCCCAAGCCATCATCAATTGAGGATTTCTATTTTTCAAACGGCCATTCTGCTATAGTCTGGAAGCAACTTACACATTCTTTTTTCTATATCTAAGAATGTGTGTTTTCCTTGGAATTATATTTTGGATTTTAATTAACAATTCAAGCTTTAGTGCAAGGAACTGACTATTTTTTCCAGTCCTTTTTTCTTTAATACCAGTTCAATACTATAGTTAAGCTATATGTTTCCGGTTTTCCTTTTGATATTTTTTTTAATCAGATGCAAGGGTATAGACTTCTAAGCAGTAAATCTGAAATATCAAATAAAGCAGTTATGTATGTATGTGTGTATTTATTTATTTATTTGGACAAAAATTTTCTTCAAAAGGTATTTGAAATTTATCATTACCTACTGAAATTTGATACTAGGATATTACATTTTCTTATCAGTTATATACCAACCTGAAAAATGGATCTTTTCTTACCGACTTCCCCCCGCACTTCATTTCAAGATAACGCAGAAGAAAGAGCCAAACTACACATTGCAAATATGGCTAATATGAAAAAAAAAACCATGTTAAAACTTCTGTTGTGCAAAAAAAAAAAGAACAATTTGTAAGCAAATACAATAGAAACAGACAACTGAAAACCACTGCTTAGAATGCCAGCTGCTTATGATAGGATGTTTTATAAAATAATTCACTGTAGCAGCCAATTACAGGTAGTCCTTAACTTACAACCACTCATTTAACGACTGTTCAAAATTGCAACAGCACTGAAAAAAATGACATGACCATTTTTCACACTCAAAACAATTGCAGCATCCCCATGGTCAAAATCCAGATACTTGTAACATACATACTTGGCATGTATTTATTATGGTTGTAGTATCCCGGGATCATGTGATCACCTTCTGACAAGCAAAGTCAATGGGAAAGCCAGATTGACTTAATGACCATGACTCTAAGTTAACAACAGTAGTGATTCAGTTAACAAATGTGACAAGAAGAGTCATAAAATGGGGCAAAACTCACTTAACAACTGTCTTGATTAGCAATGGAGATTTGGGGTTCAATTGTGGTTGTAAGTTGGGGACTACCTGAAGCTATGAGATGTTGTACTACATTTTAGTTTTTTCTTCCCAACAATCTTAGTTATTGCTTTGATTTAGAAAGATTAAATCATTTGGCTTCAGGACATTTGAAGGAATGTCCTCTTTGATCCAGATCTGTCAGTACTTTACATTCTTACCCAAAGTGCTGTTATAAATCTCATGCACAAAAGAGAAAGGGTAAGTTTTGGTTTTACAATATATATATATATGTATATTTTCATCTGGTCTTTTAATGCTATTGGTTATTGTTTCATCTTTAACATTCTAGCTTTTAAAATCTTATTTATGGTGATATTCTTGTGTGTATTATTTTTCTAAGATGCTGTTTATTATATTTTGCCCTAGGTTTCTGTTAAATGTGCACTTCATAAATAAAAATGCCTGATTCCATCCATTACTTATACCACAATTCTACTCTGCCCTAATAAAGCATAAATTACAATTACTATAATGGATTGAGAGTCCATTTTACATTCTATTATTTCACTTGTTAAAATCCATGTCAAAGCTGAATAATACAATTGTGATGGCATGCGAGAATGACCTTGGGCACAGCCTGGGCAATGCCTGATAAGAGGTACGTCACTCTGCCAATGGCGGGGGGGGGGGGGGGGGGGGGGGGGGGGGGCTTGGGACCCTCCTTAGTTTTCTGAAGACTAAAAAAGGGAGAAATACTTTCAGTCTAGCAAGATTAATTTTAACTCTTTGAGTAGTCCAGACAAGAAACACAATCAAGAGCACCAACACTATATCTTTAGGATCCATGGTGGCACAGGGTGCAGTATTGCAGGCTAACTCGGCCCATAGTCTGGAGTTCAATCCTCACAGGCTCAAGGCTGACTCAGCCTTCCATCCTTCCGAGGTGGGTAAAATGAGGACCCAGATTGTCGGCAGCAATAGGCTGATCCTGTAAACCACTTAGAGAGGGCTGTAAAAGCACTGTGAAGCAATATATAAGTAAGTGCTATTTCTATTGCTATTATAAGGTTACATTAGCAGAATCTTGACTGAAGCTATGTCCGCCCCCTCTTTTTTTAGTCTTTGGAAAATTAGGGAGAGTCCCTTTTGGCAACGCTTTTCTCCCACCTGCTGACTGAGTTGCCTCTTATCAGACTGTAGCCTAGACTGCGGCATCCCAAGGTCATTTTCACCTACCATTGTAAGAACTGTTTCATATTTAAGAAACATGAAATGAAATAAGAGATATTCTGCCCATCCTGAGTAATGCAACTCTGGGCAGCATGCCAGAAACAAATATTCTTCAATAATATTTAAATACAGCACTGGAAAGATCGGTCTTTGCTGCTTCTATGCTGGCCTTTGAAGTAAAACTACTTGTATCAGTAGAGATACAGTTATTGCAGCTGGGGAGGGGGGGGGAGGCTGAAATTATCAGCTTTTTTGAAATAATTTTTCAGGACCAAGCAATAAATAAGAACACAAATTAAAAAGGTGAATGAAAACCCCAGAAGGTCTTGAAGAAAACTTCTGTTCCTCCAAGTAGCTCATAAGAGCTCTACGTTCTTTTCCCATCCAAGTCCAAAAGCAACTTAAATTGTCTTCATAATACAACTCATTTTTTTTCATAATGCTGCATTTAATACAATAAAGTTGAATATATGTGCTTTTTATTCCATGTGTAATCAATGTTCCTGCAAAATCAAATAATACTATTACTTTTCTGGGGGAGTGGGAGTGTTCTTCACAATGGCCAAACCAATTTTTAAGCACATCACAGTTTTGCACAAATTATAAACAGACTAACCACAAAGGAAACAACACAATATGTGATTATTTCTTGGTGTAACAAAATAGCTGATGTCTTGGATTTTTTATTTAAAAGATACTTACCGCTACAACAGAAATCAACAATCTTTCTGAATGTTTCTCCATCTTGTTATCCAGTTTCCGCACTATCTAACAAAACAATAAATACTTAAAGCCAAGCTCAACAAACTTTAAAAAATGGTACTTAGTATGACTACTGAACTCTACAAACTATCTGAATGTTTTATCATCTTGAGGGGATTCCAGGTAAACAAGGTAATACTCTTATTTTTAATTCTAATATTTTTCACAGGACACTGTTTATTCAAATGCTTCTTCAAGGAGTGACAAAAATTTCTTTCCCAAATATAGATTGTTCCAAAATATACACATAATTAGGTTATTTTTGTCTAGATTTATCTAACTCATTCTATATATCAATTCTAAAACACACTCATGTATTAAAAAATACAGGTAGTTCTCGACTTACATTCAGTGACCATTTGGAGTTAACAGCATTAAAAAAATGGGGGGTTATGAGTTTTTCACACTTGCAACCATTGAAGTATCCGAAACGTCATGTAATCAAAATTCAGATGCTTGGTAACTGACTAATATTTATGTCCTGAGGTCCTAAGATCCACTTTTGCAATCTTCTGAGATGGGAAAGCCAGATTCACTTAACAACTAATATAAGTATTACTAACTTAAAACTGAGTGATTCACTTAACCACTTTGGCAGGAAAGGATATAAAATGGAGCAAAATTCACTTAACAAATATCTTACTTAGCAACAAAAAATTTGGGTTCAATTGCGCTCATAAATCAAGAACTACTTGTATAACATGCTTTATTATTTCCAAAATCAGTAGAATTTACAATTACAGTTGAATCCACTCAACTAGCTTTTAACAGATTAGTGATAACTTATAATAGTTTTATAAACTATTCTCTGTCATCAATAGTAGTATCAAGATTAATCTTTCTTTTATCGTAAGAAGTGATGACAATAAGAAAATGATAGGAAGTGAAGCTAAATTCACGAAGTATCCAGGGCATTCAAATGAGAGAGTTCCCCCTGTTGTATACTATCTGATTTGGTTCTAATAAATCAGTAAACACATTCTGGTGGCAATTCATATTATTTGAAATGGAATGATGCTAAATGTAGTATCTGAATTATATGTTGAAAAAATCTTCTTCGGATCTTCAGCCTGAAGGTAATTTTCTCATGTCTTCATTCTCAGCTTATAAGGAGCACATCATAATCTTATTTAAAATAAAAGGTGGAAGCAATTTAACCCTCTAGTGAAATGACTTTTGCTATCCAAATGCTTTACACACTATCAATATCAAAAAAACATAAATATGATTAGAATGAAGGCAGAATCTTTTAAATATTTTGTTCTCACCTCATTGCATTGAGGTGCACTGTAACTTACTGTCTTTCTTAAAATACATGATCTCCAGTTTTATGTTTATACAGTATTTGTCTTAAGTGAACAATACTCACATATACGCATATAATTTTATAAACATACAGGTACATATACTAATTTAATTTATGTCAATTTATTCTCCTAGCACGTGCCAGAAATAAATTTACTCTTTCAATTTCTTTGAAAACCTACCTTTATAAAAGAAATGAGACAACCAATGAGAGGATAGATGGGAACAAAAATAGAAAAACAAACATGAAGAACAGCAGCTGTTGTATAATACCACATAAAGAAGGCCACTTCGATGACAACAGAACAAACTAAAGCAGCCTGAAAGAAAAAAGAAAATTTAAAATATTAATTTATGTTATTTTTATCCAGTGGCATTCCATGTCTCTGGCAAATAGCACCCAAAACATAGTAGAAAGACATTGTAGCTAACGTATAATGGCATATCAAGAGTGGCAGGGTTAGCCCTAGCCCTTTGGCAGGTTTAAGACTTAGTAATTTAGTAAATTAAGGAAAGTGGAGAAAAGCAGTAAATAGCCTGGAGGGAGGGAGGACAAGCTAATCTGAAGCAGCAGATTATCTGAATCCTTTTCAGTGTGGGTTCAGGATGAGTTATAGTACTGAGGTACAGTTATGGCTGATCTTTGAAGGGCTTGAAATAGGGTGGTGTTTCCATCCTGGATTTTTTTGGTGGCTTTCAATACTATTGACCATGGCTTAAGGACTGGCTTAGGGGCTTGAGAATGTCCTGCAGAGCTTCTCTTTCCTCTGTGGTCAATTCCTGTTTGTATTCACAGGGACGGAGGGAGAGAAGTCACAGGGTGAGATTATTCAGTGGCATGGAGTGCAGCATACTGATGATCCTCAGCTGTACATCTTCACTGAGGCAGGACAAAATGGTGCCACTCAGTTCTTGAAGGCTATAAAGTTTCAATAGGGAAGAACTGGTTGCAATTCAACTCTAACAAGACAAAATAGTTCTGGGCTTTTTAGATCCCTCTAGATCTGGACCGTTATCATCTTTTAATCTCAAAAGGATAGCACTCCTCTGTAGAGTTTGTGCACAATTTGAAAGCCACTGCCCACGTTCATTCATGCTTTAGTCATTTCCCATGTATAGTATTGTACATGAAAACCATCTAAATTTCAAATGGTTTGGAATAGATCAGGGAACACAGTTTTGAGTGCTCCAAGATCTGCACATATTACACCACTATCCAGGCTGCACTGGTTCCCAATCTCCTTCTGGATGTAATTCAAGATGCTGGTTATTATCTTGAAAGCTCTGCATGCATGGGACAGGTTATCAACAGAACTGGCCACACCTGAGAGTATCTGCCTGCCCTGCCAAATCAGATAGGATGGGTATGTCCTAGACCTCCTCTATTAAATAATGTCACCTAGGTGGTGTGCGTTCTCTGTAAAAATCTCTCTCCTTTGGAACAGACTTCACTCCAACATCTGGAAGCCCCTTTCCTCTTGGCTTTCCAGAAGACTGTGAACAGCTGTTCTTCCCCCAGGCAATGGGCCAAGACAGAAATTTAAACCAGCACATTTTATGATGTCCTGGCTGGAGTGTGTCATTTTTTAAAAAGTGTTGTGGGGTTCTGTTTTTTTTATTTTTTACATGTCTATAGCGGTTTGTTTATTGCTAGCCGCCAGGGTTATACTGTATAAGAGTTTTTGGGTCATGCAAACAACAAATAAATTTAACTTACCACTGAAAAAATAAATGACCAAAATTCTTTGGTATTTTGTATGGCATTAAAGCTGAAGGAGACAATATAATTAAACATAACAACGGATGGTATGTAGCCAATAAGGCAAAAAATCTGCAGGTGAAAAGAAAATTCTTAGTTTTTTTTTTAAGATTAGGGATAAAGAAAGTAGTACATAAGTCTAAAGAAATTTTCTAACAGATAAGCTATGAAGCCGCTTAATTCTTGCTCCTTCGCATCTGTGGATATGTGATTTCAGTCTGAGGTATTATTCATAATGGCAGAGGATTAAAGAGTTAAATAGTGTCGCTGATGCAACAAACATGAATTTGGGCAAACTCCGGGAGACAGTGGAAGACAGGAGGGCCTGGCATGCTATGTCCATGGAGTTGTGAAGAGTCAAACACAACTTAGCGACTGAACAACAAAATTCTTTAAAACTCTTCTTGCAGTCACTGATGAAAATACATATTTGTGTAACACTTTTTGTAGGAACTGTGATAGTACAGAGGATTCTGTAGAGTCCCTGTGTTCTCCAGCTTGGTTGTTTGCTTACACAGTCTGGAAACAATCAAGCTAAGAGAGCACAAGGACTCCACAGTTCAACCCTGAGCTCAGATAGTCTCCTCTTACTGGAACAGAGGATTCTCTTATTAATGAAAATGGCTGGAAAGTAATAATGCAAAACTATCAAAACATGAGGATGTGAAAGAAATCTATTCTGGCAGCAATACTGAGTTTTCACTAGATAAAAACATATCTTGCATAAAGAACCTCCATATGTCTGCAAGAACAATATCATAACCCATTTCCAACAGAAGCAAATTTTTAATTATGCTTCTCCCTATCCACAACTTGATCCTGGCTTAGATTTGGCATACTAGTACATTCGTAAAATGAGCCATTCTAATAAATCAATTAAACATTCTTATCACACCAAGCAATAATCAGTCTATTCTTTTAGAAAATGAATTTGTTTGGAATTTTGCTTCTTAAGATAAACCAATACAGGTTAACTGATAACATGGTTTTCAATTTTGGGGAAAGAAAAAAGTAAAAATATTCTTATTCACTTTTATGGAGAGACAGTTTATAATCCAAATGTATTCACAATAAAATGAAAAATAATAGGAAATGTTGTTGTAAAATAGAACTTACCACAGCAAGAAACTTTTCAGGAAAAAAATAAACTCCATGGTGAAATACAAATAAACTTCCTACCATAAGAAGAAGAATTATATAAAATAATGGGATATCAATTAGTGCTTGTCCACACCAATAAGCAGAAGGATAAAGTCCAGAGATTTTAAGTTGGGTGTAAGCTCTGATCTGCAAAATAAATAATAGATAGGTCAATAGGTTGGTAGATAACATATCATGGCAGTAGAGCTCATCATTCATCCTGATTTTGCTCTGTTTGTAGTTGATATGTTAATATTAAACATATCTACATGCTATACATGGTGCATTTTTGAAATAGAGTACTGAACCATTATATAATCCTAATGCTGGAAGAATATTAAAGTTTATTAAATGTAATCAACTAAAACATTAAGTTATTGCTGAAAAATGAACAAAACATTGAGACATGAATAAAACTGGATCCAAAACAATTTATCAAGTTTTAAAAAAATAAATTAAGTACATCTTAAAGACTGGAAAAAAATTACAAGAGCAAAGACAGATAGAATAGTACATACTAGAAGTGTTGGTAATTACATAGTGCATTAGAATCCTTTGAGTGATCAGCAATTATACAGTAGTTAGGATAGTGATTAAATCTAAATATAGCTATGAGAGTCAGCCAAAATATAGCCAAACTTCTCCTAATGGTGCTTCTTCAAATTTTTATCATGTCCATAGTATAGATGTTAATAATTTTGATGGAAATTTCACTAGGAGCCAATTTGCACATTGCTTTCCCATTAGACTTTGCAATGGCACTGATATGTACATGAAATGAAGTTCTATAACAATGTTTTTGGGAGTTTAAAAAATTATAACCCATTGCCTGTTTAGCTTCTCCCTTCTAAATTGCATTCTGACTTGGCTCAATTGTTACACAGGCCATGTTATGTGAGGTCTTCTCTTAATAATCACATGGTCTTTGGGTTATGGTGACAAACTGAGATTTCCATTGCTGACTGATGTGGTCTTGTGATGTTGCACTTTACAATCACGTCACTCAGCAATGTAAATTCTGGTCCCAATTGTTGTTGCAACCTGAGAACTACCCGTAACATGAAATCAGTTAAAACGTCTTTTAAGTTATTCCATTTCCTTTAATGGTAATTGAGATGTGATATGTACAAGAAAATGATTATGGACTCAATCAAATATTTCTGTTGCTTCAGGAAATTTTTCTAACTGTAGCATATAAATCACATAGGTTGTATCACTAAGATTTTGACATTTAGCAGAATCATGAGACTGTAAGGGATCTCGAAAGTCTTCTAATCCAACTCCCTCCTAGGGCAGATCAACTCGGACAAATGGCCATCCAACTTTTATTTCAGAATCTCCAGAGATGAAGTGAGATGATTTCAGGAGACAAGCTGTTCCACTTTTTAATAGTTCTCACAATCAGGAAATTCTTCCTTTTGAATCTGGATCATCTTTGTAAAACTTCCAACCATTAATATTCGTCCTAATTGTAGGCACTGCAGAAAATGAATTCATATCCTTTTCCCATACCTGACTGGTTTTCAGGTATCGGAAGACTGCTATCATATCTCCCCTTAGCCCCCTCTTCTAAGGCTGAATTTTTTTTAACCATTCTTCTTCATAGGATACTATTTCCAAATCCAATGATCTTTGTTGCTTTTCTCTGTATTGTTTCCATTTCTCAGCATTCTGCTTGTATTATGGCCACCCCAAATTGGATTCAATATGCCAGATGAGATCTGTCCAGGGCAGCTTACAAGCAAAACTTTACTTCCTGTGAAATTGACATATGTCTATTGATGCAGACTAAGATTGCATTGGCTTTTTTGATAGCAACAACACACTGTTGACCCATGTTCATTCGGTTATCTATCAGGACACCCAGGTTCTTTGTATAAATACTATTGTTGATCCAGGTTCCATCTACATTTTGTGTGTGTGTGTGTGTGTGTGTGTGTGCGTGTGTATTTTCTTATTTTTTTTATATATATATTTTTTCAGGTGAGTCTGACTCACAGACAAACACAATACAGAAGCCTGATGATGGCAGATGAGATTCTGCCGAAATGTTGCTACAACTTTAAAAGCACAACTACAATGATGTGGGAAAATACCCGAACAAAGCTGAATAACATATATTTAAGTACCCTATCAAGATTCTTTTGACATTGAGGCTGTTTTCTGAAGTGTAAGCAAACTTTTCCATCCCCCACAAGCGTCACATCATCTACAAAACTGCTGAGCATCTCCTTTATCCTTTTTTTTAAAAAAAATGTTGATGAATACTGTGCCAGGACAGAATCCTGATGCATATTTCTTTTCATGGAGACATACCGGTACATTAATTGGGGACCATAAATTGGCTATGGTTATTCAACAGTCCATTTGGGAGTGGCAACATCACACTGTTCTATTTAATCAACATAAAACTTGTTTTTAACACAGTCATACTGATTTCTAATAATCACTTTCTTCCTTATACACTTGTTACCTTGTGGTTTTCTGCATTCTCCATGGCAAAATAGGATGGCATTCCAGTGACAAGAACTCCTAGTAAGACAGCTTCAAAATACAGCACAAGAGTGAAAACTGTGTCAGTGATTTCCTACAAATAAAGAGATTTTCGTGTAAGAAAATTATTGTTTTAAAAAATATCTTGAAATCTAACAAAGACTAAACATATGGCCTGCTTATTTTCTATGCTATAGATCATGCCTCATTAACTGCATTTCGTTTCATGTGTCTCATATTAAATAATCCTAAAATACCAACTAATCCCAATCTGTAATTAATTTGTATTAATACATCAAAAAATAGGCAGAATGCTAAGAACTTTAAATAACATGTTTAAGCCCCAAAATTTATGGATACAATTTTCCTTTCTGATGTATCACCTGATACTGACAAAAATGAATCCACATTACATTTCAAAATGGCTTTGCAACCATTTCTAGCCTCTATCACAAGCCTTAGTAGTTTTTTTTTTCTTTTATATTATCCCTTACTATAATTGATAAATTTCAAGACATCTGTACATTCTTTATAATATTAGAACTAGGTTATGCCTACATTAGAATGCAGATAATTTTTTATCTTGCCATGGAGGTACAAGCTATATTGTGCTATGAGCTACACTATGCAGTGTGTTTGTTTCCAGCATTCTTTCAAATCATAAAGCAGAGAAAGTGAAGAGCATTACATGCATGACAGCACTAAAATCATTTTGAGACAAGACTTAAAAATGTCTCTACTCTCATAGCTTGGTAGTTCTTCAAATTATTACCAGAAAGATGGAGGCACAGCTTATGACCAGTTGAGAATCAGTGTATGTCAAGAGCATTTTAGATTAATGTTGTGTACAATTGGCAAAGTACACTTTCTTGAAAGTATATGTGGAGACTTTCCAATTTTCATTTTTGGGGGAATCTCTGGCATTTCCCAGCTTAGAATTTCTCCAGCATACATACATGAAAATTATTCTGAAAATTTGTACTATGTAAATGGTAAAACTAGAGCAATCAAAGCTTGAAAATATGTGTACAAATGCCAAAGTTAATGTAAAAAAATGCTTAGTGAGTAACATCAATCAATTGAAGCTATAGTAAAATACAGGCAAGAATGGCCAAAATCTTTTAATTCTTAATATATAACATCATTATATGCAGAATTTACAATATCAGCATTTGGACTTTCATATTCACTTACTTGAAAGAAAGGGTTACTCCAAACTTGGATCTTTTCAGTTATGTTTGAACTGTATAGATAGAAGTTGCTAATAATATTCATCATAACAGGTAAAGAATGTATCATGGTGCGATTAAAAGCAGCTGTAAAGATATAACTCTGCAATAACAAAGATAAAAATTAAATTTGTTATATTTATGAGAACACATCTGGGTATAATGCAACAATTAATAAATATCTCATGACAAAAAAGGAACTAAAATGGACTTTTAGAAGCATAAAATGATGCAATATGGTATTCATGCTATTTAAAATATAGATCAATGATATCATTAAAACAGATTAAATTTCTTTATGATTTGATCACAAAATATTTCTGCATCTCTGCTGAATTCTCAGTGGTATTGTCAAATAGTTTCCTAGTTTTGGGTGATTATCTTGAAATCCACCCTCCCTCCCTTCCTTCCTTCCTCTCTTTTTCTCTCTCTCTCTTTCATTAATTGATATGCCTCCCACCTTGCTGTTGAAGTGATTGTACATAGCTTAAAAATGATAACAAGGCAATATGATTAAAATTTAAAAAGATTAAATAGAGACTGAAAACCAAGAGAACAAATAATGGGGTGGGCACCTTCTCTGCAGCCTGTCAGCATAAAGCACCCCATCAGGCCCTCTGATCTAATTACTGAAATCTATTCATTAGTAATGATTCACATGCAGTTAGATGGAAAAGTTATTTCTGGCACACATGATTGAACAGACTAATTAATACACTTCTATGAGCCTCCTTAGCAATCTGTAAGAACTGTATATGTTTTATTTGCAGTTTTCTTTTAACAACCAACACATTTTGTGGACAGAAAGGTGCTGAATAGCATCTTGATGGAGAAGAACAGGCAGAGCCAGGGGACAAAGTTAAGCGAGTCAGCAGTCTAGTCATTACTATTCTCACAAATGGTCTAAGTCCAACCACTCTTCAATTCCACTGACCCTTATCTAGTGTCAATCCTTGGCATTGAATAGTTTTTTATCAGATTTTCATGTATAGGCTTGAGCAATAAATCATAACTGCAGCTTAAGGTATGGTTCTGATTCTTCACACCTGACAGTTCATGAATAAACCTTAATTGGCTGAGAATAAAATGGAGAGAAGACCTATTTTCTTTTTTTGTGATACAATTCATGGGGTAGCCTTTGCTACCACAACAGGGTAGCTATGCATTACCTGCAGTGGCTATGCATTACCTCCAGAAACAGAGGCAGCACATTTCTTATTGCCAGAGGGGAGACAAGGGAAAACTCTTGGATTTAAATCCTATTTGAAAATGTCACAGAGGCCAATTATTAGCCTCTGTCGGAACAAAATGCTTGATCCAGTGGGGGCTCCTGTAGTTTTGTGTCTAGTGTAACACATAAAGTAGCAGATATTTTTCTTGTATTTGGTAGCAGCTGCTATGCAATAAAATGAATATCCTTTAGGGAAGATTTCTTTGATGCATACTTTGACAGGTTTTCTTTATCCTCAACACCTTCAGATGAAGAAATTTTTATTTTAGAATAGAATTCTTTATTGGCCAAGTGTGCTTGGACACACAAGGAGTTTGTCTTGGTACAAATACTCTTATTTATTTATTTTTATTTATTTATTTAGTCAAGCGATTATAAGATAACAGGTATAAGTGTAAATATAGTTATGAATACATGAAATGGATACATATAAGAAAAATAAAAAGAAGCAATAGGACAGGGACGGTATACATAAAAGAAAAGATACATTCATCAAGAATCATAAGGTATAACACTTAATGATAGTCATAGGGTACAATAAGCAATCAATTAGATTGATGGTTTCTGGACTGCTTTTTTTAGGGAGGAGGAATGAATTGGGCCAACTGTTTTCATGTTTCACACCTGTTTTCCTGTTTCTTACTTAAGAAATCCTGTTGGAGGATTTTTTGTTTGTTTGATCTGAATAGATTAAGATTGGATTTATAACCCAGGTGTATATTATATATTATTATCTCTGAGAGAGATGGTTGATTAAGAAATATGAAAGACAAATAAAATTATTATTTTTGTTGTCATATAGTTTTACCTATTCCTGAGTTACATTTTTATTGCACCTTTATTACTTTATAAGTAAGTCAAGGTGGCAAACCTACCTAACACTCCCTCCAATTTTCTTGTCAACAAACTTGTGAGGTGGGTTGGGCTGAGAGATTGATTGGCCCAGTCACCAACCGGCATTCATGCCTAAAGGCAGGACTAGTAGTCACCATCTCCTGGCTTGCAGGCCAGCACCTTAACCATTATATCAAAATAGTTCCTTTCTTGATGTTAAACCTCTGTGTCCCACCTAGAGTTGTTGTCCTGAGATGGGAAACTATATGTATTGTTTGTTTGTTTATATGTATAAATAATTATTTTTGTTATTTTAACCTTCCTCTGTTTTATGTTATTTTAAAAAAGCACTTCACATTTAAGACAGATAGGCAACATTTTAATGGCTGGGAGGTTGCACTTCATATTTTAGGGACAGGCAAAGGATCAGTAAGAATGGGAGAGGCAAAATCAGCAGAGGCACACCATTCATATGCACAGGGCTAGAATTTCATGCCCTATTCCCCACTGGGAACTGGGTAATTGCAGTCACAGTGATTTCTGGGTGTCCCAAATGAGCACCAAATATTATTTAAAATAAATACTAATAATATCCATTTTATGGATATGTATACATTTTATTCCCTCGCAGAACTGAAGTGTCCAAAGGCAATTCACCATCGACAAATTTATTAACCTGAAATAGTTCTGTCCCTAGCAGATCATATTGTACAACTACATATAATTGCACACACATTTTACTAAATTCCTGTATAGTCAAAGAAAATTATTATTCTCTTCTTACCTTGTCTACTTTAAATACATGTAATGCTGCACTATGTGGGGCAAATGACACATATCCGCTGTTGTTTAATGCTGTACTGTGGAAATCTGCTGATTCATAATCACTGTCACTGAGTACCTCTGTCAGTATATTCTGGTTTCTAAGAGCACTAATTAAGTCATCGATGTTTGACCCTAGATTGAAAAAAAGAAGAATATGGCATAAAAATATCACAACTGTTCCATACTTTCAGAGCAATTTAAGTATATAAAATTTAACCAGTTAACTCTTAAAAGAGATCCAGGTACCATGTAAGAGCCTCTGTGGCACAGTGGTTAAAGTATTGTGCTGCAGGCCATTTCTGCTGACTGTCGGCTATTCAAATCCCACCAGGCTCAAGGTTGACTCAGCCTTCCATCCTTCTGAGGTGGGTAAAATGAGGACTCAGATTGTTGGGGGCAATAGGCTGACTCTGTAAACTGCTTAGAGGGGGCTGTAAAGCACTGTGAAGCAGTATAGAAGTCTAAGTACTGTTGCTATATCTGGAGAGAGGGATGACAATACTAAAAAAGGGGGGTCCTTTTCAATTCTAGAGTCTCGGGAAATGGCATTTGAATGGGGTGGACCAAAATGACAAAAGCAGAATTACAGCATCATGAAACACCCCAATACCTTTTATAGCACAAAGGGAAAGAGCTTATGATGCAACCTTGCTTGTGTTCCTGCAGGTGCATACAAAGTTAGGCTCTCCATCGGTCATCTGTTAGTCTGAAACCTACATGCAAATATGCACCTGAACCTTTTAATTCATGGCTTCCTTATCCATAGTTGGTCTATATGAACTTGAATTCATTATTCAAGACAATCCACTTTGCATTATCCATTCTTTACGGTACAGCTGTTGTATGTGGTCTGTCATTTTGCTCTGCAGAAATATGGATGCAGCTTTCAGTCAATTTCTCAGTAACCCCAGCACTATGCCATGCTTCTAACATGTAAAACGAGCTACTTCTTCCAGAGTGAAAATGGAGAAGTCTACAATGTGATGACCCAGGGCATGGCATAGCCGCAACATAGCCAGCTGAAAGTTCAAACTCCTCCTTTAATGGTCCAAATTTCCTCTCAAATGCTCCCACATTCTTGGCAAGTCCCAGAGCAAAGTGCACACACACAAGCATAGCAGCCTCCGGCTGTACCCAGTCTAGCAAAATAAGGAACAGGAAAAGGAGTCCACAAAACAAGGAACAAACAAGTCCACAAAGTCAAGAAGCAAGCAGTCCTGCAAACTCCAAATGCCTGTACCAACACACCAAACTCTACCAATTCAGCGTTTGTTCCCAACAAATGCCCTTCCTCATAGCATCTCCTTAAGTCTCAGTCCCCAGGTGTGCCTTGTGAAGAGGGAAGGAGCACTCTCCTCCCGAGTAGTCATGTCAGCCTGCACTGTTCCAGCCTTCTCTCCACTCTCCATACTCGAGGATCAGGAGTGGGTGGTCCTTGCTCATTGCCTGAGCTCTGTCTCTCGTGTTCATAGCTTAGTCTCTCTTGGGTCATCCTGCTCCAGTTCCTCTGTGCCTACTAGCTATTCCAATCCTAAAAGACTATGGTCTGCCTTGGCCTACTCCTCCCCACATTCCTCCGAAGCCAACAAAGCTGCCCCCTTGATCTCCGTAGGCTCCAGTTCTGGCGCATCTTCCTCCACAGGTTCTGGCTTGTCTTCCTCAGGCTCTGGCGGGGGCATGATACTACAATTTCTCACCAATTCACAATATTCTTTAAAATGCTAAATAGAGATGAAGTGCTGACAATTTCAATTGTGGAATTAGAAACCCCAGGCCTTCTTTATTTTATTTTGTAATCTTTACTTTTTATTTTTATTGCTATTTATTTTTATTTTATTATTATTATTATGAATATAGTGGTACTTCGGAATTCATCATTATTTTGTTCCAGGAAGTGCTATGACTACCAAAAAAAATGAGTACCAAATAAAATTTTCCCATTAAAAATAATGTAGTGAGTTACAAGGCAGCCAAAATTGACAAGTTCTAGATTGTGAACAAATGATGAATACCGGGACAAAATGTTCACATCAAAATGTGTTGAGTACCAAATTTGATGAGTTTCAAAGCAGTTGAATACCAAGGTACCACTGTACTGTATTTTATTTTGAAAATTATTGCCTTAATTTTTTTATTTCTTATTCTTTATTTGAAAAGAAAACTAAATGAGAGAACCTAAGATCTAAAGTGGCTACCATACAGTTACTTCTATGATTTTTGGGAGAATCTCTGCTGTCTTTTCAATCGTTTTACAGCTCTTAAACATCCCCATAACCCTAAGATGTTGTATCATTACAGGTAATCCTTGCTCACTGACTGGCATAATCACATGATGTTTCACTTCACCACCACATCAGTTAGCGATGGAGTTTCTAGTTCCAGTTTTGTGTTTTGCTTTGAAAAGCTAGGATATAATCCTTTGGAACAAGAAAGTCCAACTGTAGTTGATTTTATACATATGAAATGAAGAAGTGGAAATGCCAGGAATTGAAATAAAACCAATCAGTACATGACATTTAAAATGTAGTTCTTAAATTTCTTACCAGTGGAGTTTTGAATGAGGAGACTGGTTTTGTACTTGTCATAGGTTTCGTTGGTCTTAAGAAAATATAAATTTGGAGACAGCTGTATAGGGACTACAGCTTTTTTGAAATAGTGATGTACAACAAACATAAAAATTTGAACAACAAGAAACACTGTAAATAACAAAAATCTGAAAGAAAAGAAAAAACAGGCATAATGCCAGCCTTGGTCCATTTAAGAACTAGATCAGAGTTGGGCAGGCTTGTCTAGAGAATTCATTACTTCACATTTCATTACAGTCCAACTGTGACTAAAAGTATCTTGAGATGTTGAGAGCTGTAATTAAATGGTTTAAAATGTGAACTTTCCTATAATACACACCAGTTATAAGCTTGTAAATACTTTTTAAATTCTCAGTATACAATTAAATGCAGCAAGTATATAGAAAAATTATTTTTGACAATTACTGCTAGAGTGAGACATCAATTAATCAATCAGACTGAGCTATGCCAACATTTCTCTCTTCCCTAAGAGAGAAGGGGAAAATGCTTGTAGGACTAGCATGTAAAGTGTTTGCACCCAGTGTTGTTATCAGTCAGTTGTTGCCACAAGCTATCAATTTTAGGAATCATCATACTTATCTAAAAAAAGAATACTGGCAATAAAATGTAAAAATTTAAAGTGCCAATTTAATAGTATGCAAATTGACTTCGGTTAGTATACAAGTCTAAGGGCTATTGCTATTGCTACAGAAGTAACTTCTGATGAAACACTGCAAGAAATCATAATAGCTGCCAGTGGGTACATTTGGAACAAATGTTGTCGTCTCAGCCACCTCTTGCCATCAGGGTCCTTGAACTGCTGTCAACAAGCCTTGCCTCTGGAATGATGCTGCTGTGCTTCAAAAAGGGCCTCTCCCATTACCCACCCATTTTGAAACTAGCCCAGGTTAGTTGAAAGTGACCATATATAATTCATGCTTTTGATTGCTTCTGCTCAAACTGCAATATACTGCTTTTAAATCAGATTAATTCAAAGTTGAGATACTTACACCACTGTCACTGACTTAATTTCACGTTTTAAGTTCAGGAAATGAACCTTTGCCATAGTGGTGACTTGTTTTTTCCACAGAGACTTCTTGTTCACTACACAAGATTTTACTTCAGAGAGCATTAGTAGGCTTTGCTCTAATTCATCAGTAGATTTTGTATCCATTTCTTCTTCTACATTTTCTGAGTTGAATACACTAAAATCTAAGAAAGAGAAAAGAATAGCTTGTGCAGCTTAAATTTTACTTCCAAGTAGATCAGGGGTATGTGTGTGTGAATATATACAGGTAGTCCTCAACTTATAAACAATGGTGGGATTCAGCCAGTTCACACCACTTCGGGAGAACCGGTTGTTAACTTTCTGAGCAACTTGGTGAACTGGTTGTTAGAAGAAATCATTAGGGCAGAGAACCGGTTGTTAAATTATTTGAATCCCACCACTGCTTACAACCATTCATTTAGTGAGCATTTGAAGTTGCAATGGCACTGAAAAAAGCGATTCATGACTGTTTTTCCACACTCACAACCATTGCAGCATGGTTATGTGATCAAAATTCAGACATGTGGCAAATGATTCGTATTATGATGGTCGCAGTGTCCCGGGGTCTTGTGATCACCTTTTATGACCATCTGACAAGCAAAATAAATGGGGAAGGCAGATTCTCTTAGCAACCATGTTATTAGCTGCAGTGATTCACTTAACAACTGTGGCAAGAAAGGTCGTAAAATGGTGCAAAACTCAACATCTGTCTTGCTTAACAGCAGAAATGTTAGGCTCAGTTGTGGTCATACATTGAGGACTAACTGTACAAGTAATTTGAAGGAACCAGTGAAGCTTCCATCCCAAAAATGTCATTGCCCAACCCAATTTATAAAAAATTGGGTTGGGCAATGACATTATACTATTATACTATTCTATAAACTGAAATGTAATTGAATAATGAAAAATTACTAATGAAACAGTATTCATGATATTGTATTTAAAACACAGTATAGGAAGTTAGGCAGTTTTCCCCAGCCCCCTTACCCGCTTGGTCAATCTCTGCCTCGGCTTCCAGCTTGAGGAAAACATCCTCCAAGGTTGTCATGGAAACACCGTAAGAAATAACACCCAAATGAGCATGGGTATCTAGATCAGCAAACAGTGCTATAAGAAAAAATAGCAGTGGAGGTCTTAGTAATGAATTTGTAAATGCAATCATATTTCTCTGCATATTTCCTTCTTTACAGTTGCTTAATGAACCGTCTTCTAATTTCCTCAAAACTTTATTCCAAAAGCAGGAAAACGATAATACTTGTAGGTAATAAATGTATCTGGGGTTAACTGTTCTCTGTTAAAGTAACTATCAACTCTCTGTATACTAATATTATAGACTTTGAGCTCAAGTGCAATGAGCAACATAAGTCTTCCACTTTTCTCTGCAATTCAATAGAGGAAAAAGTTATACCTGAAAATTTGTCCATATCTTTAAATGGTAATGCATATATCAGCTGTTCTTCGTTCTGTTTTAGCAAACTTGATCCAGGGATGTGCTGTCTGATGACAGATGCTGTAGCTTCTGTGTTACAATACCTGTCTATGTGCATACTAAGAAACACATATAGATATCATTGTTTTGCAAAGGGATGCATGATATTCATTATAGGAATAAGAATTACTCCTATGCTGCTGCCTAATTGAAAATGTATCTGTATTTTCATAATCCAGTTCATGAAGGGTATTCATAAATAGTATTTATTAGTTACCATCCCAAGGGTGCTTACAATATAAATTAGTAAAGTTTAATAAATTTCAGCAAAATCTAAACCCTTTAAAAAAATGACTACTGAACTACACAAACAGTTCAACTATTTTAAACGATAGACCAGAAAGGTAAGCATAGTTTAAAACCGCTTTAAAAGACACCAGACCAAAGTCAGGGATATATAGATAGTCCTCAACTTACAATCATTCATTTAGTGACCATTTGAAGCTACAATGGCACTGAAAAAAGTGACTTATGACCATTTTTCACTCTTACAGCCATTGCAACATCCCCATGGTCATGTAATCAAAATCTGAACTTTTGGCAACTGGTTCTTGTTTATGACGGACACAGTGTCTCAGGATCATGTGATCACCTTTTGGGACCTTCTGACAAAGTCAATGGGGAAGCCAGATTCATTTAACAGCTATGTTACTAACTTAACAACTGCAGTGATTTCACTTGACAACTGTGGCAAAAAAGGTTGTAAAGTTGGGGGAAACTCACGTAACTATCTCATACAGCAATGGAAATGTTGAGCTCAGTTGTGGCCATGATTTGAGGACTACCTGTAACGGGTCTTCGGTAAGAGGTTTAAGCAATAATGGAGGAGCAGGTAAATAAGGCTTACTTGATGTTTCCCTGGTACATTAATGCAAGCATAAGCAGTCCTTCAAATAATAACTGGACTCCAATTATTTAAAGATCAATGTTTAAGTACTCTGAATTGAGATTTAAAACTGAACTAGCAACAGACAGTAGGGTAGACATTACAGATGAACAGTCTAGTCTCAACAAAAACTTGACTAGCTATATTCCATACTAGCTGAAGTTCTCAAGTAATTTTCAATGACAGCTTCAAGCCAAGCATGGTAACAATGTTAATCATGCAATCCAGTTCGTATTACGATCACCTAACAATGAAAGAATTTTGATTTTGGTTATTTCAATGTGTTTAAAGAGCGGAAATATTGAAGCAGGATTGTGACAGACATTAGAATAGAAAGTGGCTGTACCTCAAACGATAGCCAATTCCCCATTTTGTCTTCAGGAAAAGAGAAGATCCAAGACATTTCAGCATTCCTTGAGAAATTACAGCTTTCCGATCTAGAAGTAGGCCAGAAGGGATCTTTATCATAAATAAAGCTTATAGGGTAGCAACCAAAAGTATCTTACTTATATTATGGATAATATATATCTAACCTAAGAGGCATCTAATTGAACATGCCTGCAAGAATGTCTGCTTCATCCATGAAATGGGTACTGAACACTGTCACGTGGTTGGCTTTTCTGTTTTTCAAGAGGTTCCAAATTGTATGTCGGGAGCATGGATCCATACCAGCAGTTGGCTCATCCAAGAGTAACACCTAAACAACAGCCAGGGAAAACAATAGATAAAAGTAAGTATTCATTTTACAAATACAAATGCTGCATGGCACCAAAACTGTAGGGAAATCAAAATCTTCTAAATGGTGTGGGGAAGGTGGAGAGAAGTCCCATAAAGCCCCATGATGGGCAGAATAACTGAAAAAAAAATGTTTGCTGAGTACTGAAAGGAAACGGGAAGGAGGCTGAATTATAGTTAATCCTTGCTTAACAATGGCAACTGGGACCGAAATTTGTTTGCTTCTGTATGTGGAGAAAGTCCTTTTCTAGAACCTCAGTTCACTGTGTAGGTACTATAATAGTGAGTTGTTTTCTGCTTGAATACAGTACTTATTTCTATTGGTCAACTGTAATTTTGAATTAAGGTTTTTTAATTTTTCTTTACTGACACCGTATATTACTGAATTAGTTATATGGTTTAATTTATGGTAATATTATTTTGAATCTGTTTTAAAAAGTGTTGTTCAAATAAGTGCCATAAGGATTTTAGACAGTAAATAGAAGATCCCGGAGTAAAATTTGGTGTTATTTCTCTGGATATGTATGTACACATCTACATAAAATTCCCTTATATTCTAGTATTCTTCAGGGAAAATGTTTAGGCAGCTAGAAAGCCATGTGAAATCTAGCCAAGTTCTTGTAAGGTTGTGTGCTTAAAGTACTCTTAAAATACTCTTTTAAGATTAAGTAGAGCCAGTTGAGAGAAGGTAGCCTATTCAGTAGTGTGGGAAAAGGTATTAATTGCTTAAGCCTTGATTGAGGGGACTGCTGCTGTTTGGGCAAGTAGTATTTTTATTATCTCAACTCTCCTAATTTGTACAACCCAATTATAGTTCTGTTTGTATGTGGCTTGAAATTGATAATGAGTATCATGACCAGTATTTCTGTTACTTTGCTATTTACCTTCGGATCACCAAGAATTGCAATTCCGATTGACAGCTTTCTTTTCTGTCCACCACTTAGTTTTTTTGCTTGGTTATCTTTAATGGGCTGCATATCCAAATCCAATAAAATCTTTTGGACCTTTCAAAATCAAGCATGAAAAATATTTAGAGATAATTAAAACAAGTAATTCCATAATTAATCAGGCTATTGTCACTAAAGCTCAAGGAATCTAAAAGTTTTGTAGCTTACCATGATATAATATATTATGAAAATAACTCAAATTCTATGTTATTTATTCCCTGCAATTTCAAAGAGAACCCTATTCTGGAAGAGTTAAGGTGAGAGGTTTCCAAAACCAATACGGTATCCATCCATCCATCCTTCCATTCAATCATTAAAGTGGTTTTTTTTTAAAAAAAATTGCTTCTGCTAATCATATCTCTTTTAAAATAGGTCGAGCTGGTATTTAAAGTTCAGAAGGACTAGTAGGAAAACCAATAATTACTGGTGCCTATACCTATCTCATATTTTATTTATAATATTTTTATCTTAGTTTCTGTAAGCTTTTCTGTTTTAGAAGAATTCTCAAAATAAAGTAGCATACTATGGAATCTGGATGTAAAAGATGCAGTCAATACATTATTACACATTCATGTAAAATTATCTTTGTTTATTGAAGGACATATATGACATCATTCTGACAATTATAAATAAATACATTGTATTCTACTTACCTCTTGGATCACATAATTGGGAGGTATTCCCTTAACTGCAGCAACTATTGACAAATTTTCTTCCACAGTTAATACATCAAAACAGACATCTATTTGTTGACATACTCCAGTTATCTTTCTGGCATCCAGCATTTCATCAATTTCAGAAACTCTGTATCCATAGATCGATGCAAATCCTGGTAACAACAAACAAGGAAGATAATGACTGCTATTAAAATACATACATTCATGTATACATCACAAATAATAATGGACTATGGACTATGGACTATGACCATAAAACAGTCATCAAAATTAGAGACTTCTTCAACAGGAAATCAAGAAAATTCTCTCTTCCTGAATTTTCCCCAAGTTGTTTTTTTTTGTTGGTGGGGGGGGGGGGGGGTTGGCTTAAAAATAAAATGAAAAAGTGCGGTATTTTCTGCATGTGTATTTCTATAGCTTGTAGAAAGAAAGCCAATCAAAATATTAAGTCCTACATGGCATAGGGCCTGGTTACTTGAGATATGTCTTGCATAGCATCTGGCTGGCAGATTTGATCCTGCAAGGTTTGTGTATTCTGGATTCCTTTAAACGGTATCATCTATCAGGATCCCAGAAGTGTGCCTTTTCTGTAGCAGCCCCCTGCACCAAGGATCCTCCCGAGATTCAAATGGCCCCCACCCAGTTGTTGTTTACAACAGCCATGAAAACCTGGCGATTGGTGAGGGAGAGTGAGACCCTTGCTTCATTCCATTTGGTTTCACTTGCTTGCCATATTTTAATCTCATATGTTTTATTGATTTTATTATACTTTCTTCTTTGGTTGTTGTGAGCCACCCACAGTTGTTGAAAATAGAGTGGCATTGGAATGATGGAGAATGGAGTGAGGAAGATGATACAGTAGGTCTTGGCATGTACACAGCAATTTCTTTACAAACCCCTTCTCTTTACAAATTGAGATGTATTTGTACTTTCTTTTTATTTGTCATTGGTGCGTGGGTAGAAAAAGAAACATATATTTAGGAAATTGAACAGAACAAAGGGATAAGCAAGTGAACAGCAAGATTACATTCCCAATATCTGATTCTAACATTCTACAATTATAAGTTCCAGTTCGTTGAAATGGAACTCAATGTATAATTAAAAAAGAGAGCAGAAATAACCTATTCAAAACAGAAATGTCAAGCTATGTGCAACTATTCTGCATTGCATGGAAAGGATATTGCTATGGAAAAATTTACAATCCTTTCTCCTAAATTCTGGGGTTGAAGTCTTGATTAATTGGAAAGGACAGCTATAGGTTATATGCATTAATCATTGAAAGGACCAAAAATGGATCTAAACAAAATGTAATTATACATATAAAAAAACCTAAAATAGTGCATTTTTTCTTTACTTGCCATTAAATATGGCAAATCAAAATTATTTTGATCATATTTACCATCAGAAGGTGGGCACAATCCACAAAGAATGTTCATTAATGTTGTTTTGCCTGTTCCACTGTGTCCAAGTAATGCTGTAATCTGGCCCTCATATATATCAAAGGATAAATCTAATAAAATAATGACATGATTATGCAACAGGCAAGAAGTCAATGATGTAATACCATACCACCAATGATTACATTACTATTAAACATTAAGACACTTAATGTAAAACTGAATTCACCTTTGAAAAATAGTTTGCGTTTAACATAATAAACTCACAGATTATTTAATATGCCATTGAACATTAACAGGAACTTGCCAAGCTTCTGGTTATCAGAAGACAAAAAAAACCCCACTTAAACTTCAAGGATTTTTATTGTGATAAATAGTTGAAAAATCCCCAAATTCTTACTTTTTAAAGCCTCCACAGTTTCACCTTTTTTAACAAAAGATTTCTGGACACAGTTGATTCTGAAAGAAAACATGATAGTTTTTTTTTAAAGGAAAGCTAAACTCTGATCATATTTCAGCAAGATAAAAAGCAAGCAATATGAAAGAATCATTATGTTAGCATGAATATTACTCAAATCTAAATTAATGCTAATTGAAGACTCACAAAGCACGGTTGAAAGTTTCTCAGTTTCTGAGCGCTCTTAAGTAGGGAACATGTCTAAATTCAATATCCTATTTTTCCCTTGGAGTTTAACTTTCTTGTTCAACTTTGTTGAATTCAGTACAATACTGCTATTAATCGCTAAAGGGTACATTTCTTAATCCTAAAGACACTGTATGTCACTGGCACTTACAGAACATCTGCTCAATGACTTTAACATTGATTCCGAATGGAAAACCAAATGGGTCACAAATATAGGTAAATATATAAATGACTCCACAAAAAAGGTACCAAGCTTTGAACTACTAAGTCAGCAATGGATAATACTGAATAGGAATTGCACCACACACAATATCTGCCGGGACTCTCTGTATAAATGGGGGAATAGTATCCTCTTCTAAGCATGACTGCGGGGGCATATCACAACAACTGTAGATCACATCATGACTGGCTGAGGGCATATATTGGTCCAGTATCTGATTTTTATTGTAAAGGATGCTGCGCTTCAATGGTTAAATGGTCTAGGTGTATTTGAACATGGAAATTTTTAACGTTTATATTTTGTGTTTGACTAATCTAGGTCAAATATTAATATACATTGCTAATCCCTGTATAATATGCCATACGCTAAATAAATACATATATTCATATTTGAAATACTAAAGAAAAGTTGGCAGAACGGTTCTACATGTGTTTAAAAGGATATGGATCAGTTTGTTTTAGTACTAATTCATGTACTAAAGATTTCCTAAGCACCTAGTAAAACAACTTTCATTATATTGAATACAAACCACCATAATTTCCTCTTTAAAAAGTTTCTAGATGTTGAACATTCAGGCTGATGTAGCTGTTTTATCTGCCTCAGCCTCTAGGCAAAAATTACCATCTGACTATGTTTGATGCAAGCAGTTTTACTTTTATGATCAATTAGATGCTTGCTATATACAACTGACATATCTAATGCAATTTCTACATGTAGACTGCATGGTTGATTTTTACACAGATTTATTCATGCTTACTGACCATTGATTTAAATTCTATTTTATAAACACTGATAGTTTCAGTGGGTTTTTTTGCTATAATTCATTATCTATTTAACCCAATTTTGTGATTTAGTACAGAAATTATTAGTTAATTTTTTAAAGTGAACTTTCTTTTTACTAACAATTTTTAAAAAAGGATTTCGTAGAGTATCTGGATTGATGCTCTAAACAGAATGCTCACAACATTGAAAAACCACATTCCTTCAAGATTCATGTGAAGGGTCTTTTGTGCCTACACACACACGAGGGATCTTTACTTAATGACAATTCAAGCAGTGACTGTTCAAATTTATAATGGTGCTGAATGAGTACTACTTATGACTGGTCCCTGTATTTATGACAGTCATAGCATCCTCATGGTCACATGATTGCAATCCCATGCTTGCTCAGCATTCTGCTTGCAATTACAATGCTGCAGTGTCCTACGGTCATGTGATCACCATTTGCAATCTTCACTGCCAGCGTCCATTAGGCAAAGTCAATGGGAAAGCTAGCACAAGGTTGCAAATGGTGACTTGATGTCATGGTTAATGACACTATGGGTTCACTTAAGAATAGCCATGTGACATTGCATTTTATAACTGCATCACTTTGAGACAGAAATTCTAGTCCTAGTTACCATCATTAAGCGAGGATTACCTGAATACTTTCTTTATTGTTGTTGCTAAAGCAAAATGACTCACATGACATAAAAAGTTCCTCAAAACAGCTGGATCAAATATTGACAAGATATGGTGCTTAAATGCTTTAAGAAAAAAGTTTGGAAGTAGTTTTTTTAAAAAAATTGAATTTATACAGACTTAAAAAAATAGAATACTTTATTGGCCAAGTGTGATTGGACACACAAGGAATTTGTCTTGGTTTAAATACTCTCAGTATACATAAAGAAAAGGTACATTCGTTAAGAATCAAGAATCATAACGTACAACACTTAATGATAGTCACAGTGTACAATCAACAATCAAATCATACTAGGAAACAGTCAATATAAATCGTAAGGACAATTCGCATATAAAATTCATTACTTAATTTTAGTCCATAGTTGCTGATTATGTAAGATAACTTCAGAGTTATCAAACTCAAGAAATTTAGATAAGAAACTTCAAATTAGGTAAAGAAATATTAGCACCTGGCTTTAGCTGTTGAAAAAAAAACACAAAATAGCCAATCATACCTGATAGCTTCTTTTCCTTGAAACTCTGATGATACAGGTTCAATGATCTCATTGAAATCTAAATTCCCATTAATATTGCTTTCATACAATTCTTTGTAATTTTTTGTTCTCTTTGACCAAAATGAAGGCTTGAGAAAGAAAAAAAAATGTCTACGCAATCCATATTCTCCTGAGCAATAAAAGAAAAATAACATCTACAAATATTAAATGCTGCTAGTAATAATATATAAACATTTAAAAGATATATGTTCACTTATGCTGGTCTATGATTGAATTATTTTCATTAATTGTAGGTAGTCTTCAACTTAGAATCATAATTGAGCCCAAAATTTCTGTTGCTAAGTGAGACAACTGTTAGCTATGCCCCATCTTATGACCTTTCTCACCACCATTAAGTGAATATTAGTCACATGGTTATTAAGTCAATCTGGCTTCCCAATTGTCTTGTCATAAGGTCACAAAAGGTCCCCAGGACACTGCAACCATCATAAATATGAGTCAGTTGCCAAGTGTCTGAATTTTGATCACATTACCATAGGGATGCTTGCAATGGTTGTATGAACAATGGTCATAAGTCATTTTTTTCAGGACCATTGTAACTTTGGTCACTAAACAAACTGTTTCAAGTGAGGACTACCTGTATCAAACTCCAGCAAAAGAACATGGTCTTAAATTTTCAGTATAAATCAAAACTCTATTGCTCAAATAGATCAAGGAGTGTATCACAGGGTCCGTATATCTCACTGGGCCAAAATGCAGAATATTTGAGTTTTCTTTATGAGATATTCAACATACCGAGTTTCTCATATAATAAGGCCAGGTCTTTTTTTTTTTTTTTTGAGCCCCGAAAAAATGGCTAGGCCTTTTTGGCAGGTGACTTAATTCCCCCCCCCCTGCATCTTCGGGCGGACGGGTGGCAATGGCTTGGATGACCTCGGAGTTGGTGGGACACTTCGTATCGGGGTCAACACAGGCAGCACCATATCCGGGTGTGCAACAAAAGTACTTCCTAACGGCAAGCCCCCCCACCATTCCCCCCCATTTCGCATGTTTTAATATAGGCCTTAAATTGGGGGGAGGGGCTTAATTTCATTTCATGCCTATAAAACATGCTGGGACTTCCTATTGGGGGAGGCCATATTGTTGGAGAAACAGGGTATTAATTAAGAAATGGCTTAACATCCAGAATGAACCTATCTGTGGTGAACTATTTTTTAATGTAACAAGTGTATACATGAAATAAATTATGCACAATAATATTCAACAACTGGCAGAATTTATTCCCATGCATTCCAAGTATTTGTACTTTTTGATGCTTGTGATACATTGGAAGGATGTTAATGCAACGCACAAGTAAAAGTTTCACTTATTATTTTAACTCCACGGTTAAGTTCTTTCCCTACCTCAACATATAGGCAAATGTTCTCTGTTAGAAGTGGTTTTAGACTGGACTAAAGTTTTAGACTAAAACTAGAAGTGGTTTTAGACTGGAATATAATTACATTCACTCTAGCCCAGTTTAGAGTAAATAGAATGGCAAATTTTGATTTGCTGACAATCTAAAACCAAGAAGAGACATCTGAATGTAAATTGCCATATTTTTATTAAATCAAACAACTTCCAACTTTTCAAGAGAAAAAGTGTAAAGAAACAGTTCAAATATTTAATAAACTGTATGTCAGATAGTATATTATTGTCCTTAAGAGTTATTCATACATTTTTGCTGTGCTTTTCTGAGAGACAAGGGTTATATAAATTATAACGGCTAAAGCGATTTGTTCAGGCCTATTACATATCATTTTTGTAAAAACTGAATGTTATATTGTAATACATATGAAATAGAACCATAAATAGTCATGCATTTCAACAAATGTATTAGTGCAATTGTACTATAGTTTTGTATCAAGTACTCAGACTGCAAAAAAAATCCCACAGAGAAATGCACTGATCCTTTAGAATGCAGGTAGTGCTACAAATATATATAAAATGCACATTGCTGATAAATGTAACTTGAGTTTTGAATTTGTTGCAGATCAAATAAATTATTATAGTTATTTGAAATCATTTTTTCTGAGTCAGAAATTCAATCATACCTGGAATAACCTGATCCAAGTAAACTGCTAATAGTAGATAAAGCACACTGTCAAGAGCTAGGAGCAATATAGCAATAATTAATGGATAAGGTCCATAAGTTAAATTTGAAAAATTAACTCCTTCTTCATAATCTTCTAAGTGCATAACCTGCAAACAAACAAAGAATTTGAATATTATTTGGAATACCATCATAGCATTAAAATATTAAGGAACTAATTAACACTTATGGCACTCCATTGCAGATTGGCACATATGAATTATTCTATTTTAGCAATGAATTTGAAACCACTTTATTCTTAAGGATTCATCATTGATCTGGTTTAGCTTGGATATTTTGGATACAGCTTGTTTATTGTTTATTTTTATAATTAGCTTTATTCATACTAAGTTTCATATTTCTGAAGTTAATTCTTATCTTCAAACTCAGGCAATTAATACTTATATTAAAAATAAGCATACATTTTACTGCACATGTAAGCATTAACATGTTTTCAAATGGTCATAGTCTTTTGTCCTGTTGTTCCATATTTGCTTGTGCAAATTCAAATCCTGGCTATATTGCAACCTTGCTTTTTGATCTCAAATATAATATAAACGAATGACTGTCATGAAAAAAATATTAAGCAATATTAAGCAATACAATAACCAGAATATAGCATGCAAACATTTACTATAGAAATTGCTTCCAGAGAAGAACAGCAGCTGTTGTTCCTGCTGTAACATAATGAACTTTTTATGACCTAAATTTACATCAAAAAATAAACTGTTTTACAAAAGTGTTGTTGATAAAGCTTCTAAACAAAATTGCAACTAATAATCATTTCCTACATATCATTAGCCTCAGCTTATGTCCACTGCTTCAGCCACCACTCAGAGTTACAAAACTAGTGCTGAAAAATGGACTTATAATCAGTCCTTGATGTTCTGAATGCAGTGATGTGGTTGTGATCTGGGTGCTTGGGTCATGATTACAACGCAGCAAGCTGCATTACATGATCATCAGTTGTGACCTTCCTTGCTGTCTTCTCATAAGCAAAGTAAATGGGGAAGGCGACAGGGAAGATCACAAGACACCCCAGTAAATCGCTTTCACCACTTTTTCTCACAAGGAGCCCACTATGGACTATGAAATCCCAGAAGTTTCCTATTCTGTAGCACCCAACACCAACCAAACTCTGTAGCACATGCCTGCCTGCAACACCCACTTCCTGTGGCCCCATGTGCAATTTGCCCTACGTCTCCACCAGCCCTCCTGTGCCCCCACTGACCTGCTTGTGCTTCTGCAGCATCACCCACACTTTTTACCTCAGAGTCTTGCCTCTTCCTATTTAATGACCCAGACCCACACATTTGGGAGGTATAGCAATAATAATAGCACTTAAGATTTATGTACTGTTCCATTATACTGTACTATACTAGTATCAGCATATTGCCCCCAACAATCTGGGCCCTCATTTAATCGATGGAAGGATGGAAGGATGAGTCAACCCTGAGCCCCATCGGGATCAAACTCCAGACTGTAGGCAGAGTTAGCTGCAATACTGCATTTAAACCACTGTACCACCAGAGTTCCTGGGTTTTGATAGCAACTTAGACTCACATCACTAAGAAGTGTCGTTATGTGATCTGTGCTTTATCACTGCATTGTTTAACAACTGAAACCCTGTTCCCAATTGCTGTCATAACCTGAGAAATAGCTGTACAATGCTCACTAAAGAATCTGATATCCATCAGTTCCTATTCTAAGATTATTAGTTTGTTACAGAAATCGATCCTTAATATTTTAAAAATATTTTTAACTGATGAAGGAAATAGCAACAAGCAAGTAACATGTTTACTGCAAGTATAGAATAAGGCAAATACTGTCTCTATATTTGTTTTCTCTCACTAGTGCCTATAGCTGGGATTCGAAGCGTAGAAAGTTGTACAGCAATACGCAAATAATGTATTTTACTAACCTGTGCAACACCAATTAAAAATGTGCATTGACACAGAGGGCTTACCAGCCACACAAAGGATTTTGGAATATCCTCTACCAGGAAAATTGTTAGACCCACAATACCAAAAACCAGGGTTGACAAAAACTCAACTGTACCAACATGTTTTGATTTTTTGAAAAGAGGAGTCAACATGAATGCAAAGAAAACCTAAACAGAAATGAAACAATTATTTCAATGCATTAGAAACTTTACAGTAAAATGCTGAAATGATGGTCTTTATGTTGATATTGCAGCAATTAGAATCATCTAAATTAACGTACCGATGGTTCTTGCTAAGATGGCTTTCATCAGATTGGTTTTATTTTATTTTTAAATTTTCAAATTATGTGTTTTGGGGTGGCCAGAGGATTTAAAAATCAGAGGCATTTCTAAATTTCGAGAATAATCTGGCCTTCATAGACTGCAATATTCAATTTTACTTTCAGCATAAGTAAAAATATAATATGTAATATGTAAAAGTAAAGGCAAGATATGTTTTCATTGTGAGTTGAAAAAATAATATTGTATCCAAGGTCAAATTATCTTTTCAAACAGAACCCTTTCCAGCTCAGGAATGTCATGACATTCTGTATGATTTGTTTAGTTTTGTTAATTGATGTGTAAATAATGAAAAATGAGGATAGCAATGTGCTGATTATTTAATTTGCACAACTGCTCCATTATAAAAATGGACAACGAATTCAATATACAGAACCAGACCAGAAACCAATAAAAAGCTAGAGCACGTACTTATTTTCATATAATAATGTCAGGTTATTAACGTAACTTCAATATTAGAGCCTTTTGGGCTACATAAATATTTGTTATTGTGATATCTATAATCATCATAAAACATTACATGTTTGAAGACAGAAAACACTTAGGTAAATCAGAAAGTATACTCAAAACAGAATAAGAAGCAACATCTGTTAAACTATCTAAGCAAATAAAATTGCATCAGACCTCTCCCAGCTATCATTCAGTGTAAACAAAACCACAGCAGTAGCAAATTGCTTATGTAGGTCAAATAAGACTCTAAAACATTACTGATAACCATAATATAATAACAATGAACACACATAAACATACACACACACAAAAACACTTACGGAGGATATTCCATACAGGAAAAAAAGAAGAAATATCACAAAGCTGCTACTTTTGGGGAAAAGCGAAGAAAATGTTGCAATGACCGACATAAGAAGAGACATGACAAATATCAGACTGGTGTACAGTAGGACCCAAGAAAGCCTAAAAAAGAAAATACACAATGAAGATTCATGAATTTAAAGCTATAAATATTACTATACAAGGATAACTTCTGTTTCAAAGATCTTTTCAGGCAGCAGGCACCATCATGCTATTTTGCACAATGTTGCAGATATCAAAAAAATAAATTTAAAAAATGTAAAAGGCAGAAATCTTATGCTGTTTAATGTAGCAACAGATATTTTACAATATTTATCTGGGAAGACAGTCACCTATTTTTTTAAAAATTGAGGATTCAAGAAACATAATTCAGTGGTATCATAGATACCCATAGATACCCAACTGCCCATTATTGCCAATCCATGTTCTAGCTCTATCAAAAAGCAACCATGCAATTAAAAACTGAATCTTTTTGTGATATCCCTCTCTCTTTCTCTCTCCCTCTCTCTCTTCTTCTCCCACTCTCTCCCTCCCTCTACCTCCACCAGAGGTGGTATTCAGCAGATTCTGACCAATTCTGGAGAATCTGTAGCGGAAATTTTGAGTAATTTGGAGAACCGGCAAATCCCACCTCTGACTGGCCCTGCCCCCATCTATTCCCTGCCTCCCGAGTCCCAGCTGATTGGCTGGGTCTTCTTTTGTTGCCCTGCACAGGAGAACGGAGCTGGAAAGCAGGTTAGTGGGGTGAGGAGGGAATGGGATTTTGCAGTATCCTTCCCCTGCCACACCCACCAAGCACCCACCACCCACCAAGCTACACCCAAAGAACCAGTAGTAAAAAAAATTGAATCCCATCTATCTAATTTATATAGCTGCCCACTTCACCATAAAATAAAATGGGGTTAGTTCCCTTTAAACGAAACGTTTTTAATCAAAGACCTCTTGCTCTTGGCTTGGCACATCCACAGACAGTATTACATGTAAACCAAACCATTACAATTTATTCAATTGTGTTCATAAGAAATTGGTTTAGTGCAAGATATGAATGTTCTCAATGTGTCTAGATAGCCCACTAATAGGAACACCTAATATATGAAGAATTACAGAATTCTGCAATACTATCAATACAAAAGACAAAAGCTTTACAAATATCTAGGCAACTAACAGGTAAGCGTCTAGTAGGACTCTAAAGTCTTTTTGATGCGATTCCCAAAAGGTGCTCTAGAGCAGGGGTCGCCAACCTTTTGGACCTCAGGGATCACCAAACTCATAATTTTAGATCCCAGGGACCACTAACTGTTTCTGTGGGCGTGGCCTAATTTGTGGGTGTGGCTTGTTGGTCATGTGCCTGGCTGGGCATGGCTTGTATGTAAATATTATAAATATTTATATAAATATTGATTTTTTTATAAAAAAGAGCAACTTTTACCCAAAATCAGGCAAAGCAGGCAGGCAGATTGAGTTGCTCACAGAATCACAGATTCATTCAGAAATCTATCTATCTGCCGTTGGCTAGCTCAGTCTGTCACATAAAATTTGCTTGCAAGCAAACTCACAAAATTAACTCACAACACACCATGCATGTAAATATTGAATTTTTTATTTTAAAAAAAGAACAACTTTTACCCAAAATCAGGCAAAGCAGGTAGACTGAGTTGCTCACAGAATCATTGAGTGATCTATCTATCTGCCATTGGCTAGCTCAGTCTCTCAAATTTGCTTGCCGTGAGTCTGCACTGAATTTGTTTGCAAGCAAACCTTCAGTCCTAAGGGAGGTTCGGCTGTGCTGAGCCGAAGATTTAAGAACTAGAAAGCAAGAAAGCCAACCATTTCCTGTTTCCTAGCTAATCTAAATCTCCCAGGACAGCAGAACAGATGATGGTCGGAAAAAGGAAAAATAGCAATTTAGCAGGCAAGTTTACCGGGTAAGGAGTGAGTGGGTGGGGAGGGTTCCCGCGGGCCATGTGGGTGGCGCAGCCTTGTATTTCTGCACAGCCTGGATTAATTGCTTTGTGAGGGTGCTCTGGGGGTGAGATTTCTCTGCGGCCCACCAACATTTTCTCACGACCCACTGGTTGGCGACCGCTGCTCTAAAGCACAGGAACAAGAATAAATCACTTGTTTGCAAACTATCTTCTGTTGTTTTAAAGAGTTATAGGCAGTCACTATATTCATACCTGTGCACATTCCAAAACAGCCTTTGGAAAGCTAATCCAAAACACTGCACAGCTCTAATATCTAAAGTCATCACTGACTCCAACAAAGGAATCAGCAATAATATTAGAATTAACTTTAAATCATATGGCAGTTGTTTCATGACTATCAGGATTTTTCAAGAAAATAGAGGAATATCTTAAAGCCTGTCCTTTACACAAAAGTGTCACTGCTCTGCAAAAATCCTTCTATAGCAGTGGTGTCAAACTTGCGGCCTGCGGGCCAGATGCATCACGTGCTGGCCATGCCAATCCCAGGTTCAGCGAAGTGGAAAAAAGTCACGATACATCACATGACAATGTGACATCACGAGTTTGACACCCATGTTCTATAGTACCTTAAAATAAAGTTCACTGAATTTTCCAAAATTAAGAAACTTTTTATCTTGCTTCATCAATTCAAGATGCTTCCAAACTCACAAGTATACAAGTTTATTTTCCTGTGTACCTCTAATATATATGTATATTCGCACATAATTTTGCCTTAAAATATGCAGAAATCATATTTCAAACATTTTTTCCAGTTTTAATTTTGAAATAAAAAGAACTAATTTTACCATAAATGCTAAAATTAATTCCTTAAGACCATGAGAAATTAAGGAATTAATTCCTTTGTTTACGGAATTTGTTTATGGAATTCCTTTAAGAAATTTAAACAAAAGACTGTTTAAAACTAGTTTTTGTGACAGCTAGTCCAACTCCTTCAAGAATGGCTACCTCAATTATTCTCTGAACATACTATGTGATGAGAGAAAGAGAGGGAGGGAGGGAGGGAGAGGGAAGGAACAAAAGTGTGGAATTAAGACTTCTAGGAATGATATTTAGAGGAAAAGATGGCTGTCAATGGACATATTTTATTTTTTAAATTAGACTGCCCCCAAATTTTCCAGAAGAAGAAAACCAGACAACTCCATCATATTAGTTACATTTTTTTAAAAAAGGAAGGGCAGGGAAAGCCTCAGCAGTTCCACCAACCAAGTGCTTCATGCATCCCCTTTACATCTGTTCTCAATTTAAAACTTTATCATGCATAGGCACCCAAAATTTAAACTGAGAATCTGCACACAAGCATTAATCAGTTTTTCAACATCCAGCATGACAGCATCAGTCCAGAAAAGCAAATCAACTTACCTTTAAAGAGCAACCTCTAAATAAACTTTGTACATGTTTACAAAGTAACTTCATTAACATTAATATGTGTGTGTGTGTGTGTGTGTGTATGTGTATATGTATGTATGTGTATATATATATGTGTGTGCGCGTGCGCGTGTATACACACACACACACACACACACACACATATACATACACAGAGTGATGAAAGACCAGTGATGATATAATTGTGAGCAAAGACAGCAAACATTTCAAGTGTCATTTTTATTTTCAAAATTGCATCTGATTCTTCAGTGTTCAAAATATCACAATGTAGTCATATCTATCCATTCTAAGAAATAGTCTAGGAAAACTTGAGAACAGCCTGAAATCTTTTCTACAAAGAGACTTTTTTATCTTGGGTTACAATCAAGATGTTGTATCTTTTCTCTCAAACTTTATAACTGAACAAGAGCTGCTGCAGTTGTTTTAACAACGAAGAGCTAAGGAACTTACTCACCAAAAGGCAGTGTCATGAAGGCCCATTATCATTAAAAATTCTTTTAATTTCTTCTCTTTTTCTGCCACAATATGGATTGCCAAGTAATAACCGAAAGGCGAAAAGGCAACCACTAAGTAAATCAGAATGATTGCACGAGGAAAATTATCTATTTCCAAAATAGCAGATTCTCCCATCATGACAGCTTTTGTTTGTTCTAGTTCTTCCAAAATTGAGTGATTAGTCTTCAGCTGAAAAAAGAAAACGCCTGTTAAAATCAGGTTTTGGAATAGCTTCTGCTAATAAAGAAACATTATATCTAAAGCTGTAAAACAATCTACGATAGATCTAATTTATCTATTTTATATCTCCATGCAAAGTATTTTGACAAAAGAGGTCTGGTTTATTTTATATAGTTATTTCTGCTTTTTTTTCTATTGGCTGCTCAAATTTTAGAATGAAGAAAAACTGGAATAAATAAAATAGGAAGGCATTAAGATAAATATGTTCTGTATCAATGGATAGAAAACTTGATTAAAGCTTACTAGATTAGCCAAAGGAAAATCCTATAAATCAGATTTCTAATACATTTATATTAGCCCAGTTGCAGCGGAGTGATTTTTAGGCTGATCAGGTTGAATTCTCTTTGATTAATTTCAATTACTAGTAATCAGGTAAAAAAGCTATTAAGCTATTGGCACAGTTTGAAGCAAAATAATACAGTTTAACTTCAGAAATTGTTGTAGTTGATAGGTAGTTCTTGTAAGATTCAGAAGCTTTTAATAATCAGTTTTTCTCCTTTTTCAAGAAGTCATTTTTTAAATTGGATAAGTGGTAATTAATATATTCATCACTGATGTTTTGAAAGCTCCTTTGCCACTTTATTTAAGAATTGGAAAATTTAAGTATTGGAACTGATCCAATCATTGCAAAATGGTTCAGTTCCTGGTCTAGATGGTTTCCAAGTGGAATAAACTGTTGTACTGACAAGACTTTGGAAATATTATGAATAGCAAAAACTAAACAAAAGTATTATAAATCAAGACAACCCAAAGTTTATTGGAGGCACACATAATTGGGCATAAATTATTAACAGCCATGGTGGTGCAGTGGTTAGAATGCAGTATTGCAAGCTAGTTCTGCCATGTGTCAGCAGTTCAATTCTCTTCAGCTCAAGGTCAACTCAGCGTTCCATCCTTCTGAAACGGGTAAAATGAGGACCCAGATTGTTGGGGGCAAAATGCAGACTCTGTAAACAGCTTTGAGAGGGCTGTAAAGCAGCTATAAGTCTAAGTGCTTTTGCTCTTGCTATTTTATTTTGAACATATGCAAATGTAATTTTGGGAAATGCAGAAGTAAAGAGAATCAGAAGATAAACAGCAACAAGGCAGATGGATTCAATTAAAACTCCTGGTCAGTGCACAGTTGGAGGATATCTGAAGAGACAGATAATCCTATTATCCCCAACAATCAATGAGGACTTAAGCAGTCAATACAAGTCAATATATATATGTATGGTATTCAGCTTTGTTCGGGTATTTTCCCACGTCATTATAGTTGTGCTTTTAAGTTGTAGCAACGTTTCGGCAGAATCTCATCTGCCATCATCAGGCTTCTGTATTGTGTTCGTCTGTGAGTCAGACTTTTACAGTTGTTTCAGTTTTAAATTTGGGGCTAGCCTACTGCTGTGCCAGAATGGTTTTTTCTTAATCCTGATTGGTTGGGAGTCTTGGTCTGTGTTTATTGGTCTTGGAGTTTGCAGTGTTCTGCTTGATTGGTGTTTCTAATATCTTCTGTCTGTTTTGTGGCTTTTTTTGTGTCTTGATTGGCTGGCAACATTGTGTTCTTGTATTGGAGGCTTTTAGTGTAGCTTGGCTGTGAGTAAATGGATGGCTATCATTTGTTAGGAAGCTAGGTTTCATCTGGGTGCCTGGTTGGGGTGTGTTTGAACTGGAGGTATCAGGGGGGATCTGTTTATGCCCAGGTGTTTGCCTGGCTAGAGATGTGGAGATTTTTTTTGTTTGTGAGTGCAGGCTTACAAATAATTGACAGTCTGGTGGAATCATCTCTTCTATTCATGCTTTCAGGTCTTTTTTCAATCTCTATGGCTTCTCTGATAATTCTGTGGCTACGGTTTTCTATAGTGGCTAGGGTTTTGGTGCCATTGAAGTTGATGCTATGACCTGTGGCTTTCATGTGTTGGACTAGTGAGGAAGTGTATTCCAGCTTTTTTACTGCATTTTTGTGTTCATCCAGGCAGGTACTTATTCTTCTATTGGTCTGTCCAATGTATGTGGCCAGGCATGATGCAGAGGGGACTTCATATATGCCTTGGTTTTCCAGGTCAATTTTATCTTTGGGGTTTCTAAGGATGGCTGCTATTTTTCTGTCTGTTTTGAAGGCAGTCTTGATGTGATGCCTGTGTATGGAAGAATTCGAATCCAGAGCCCTGGCTAATGCCACCCACAAATCCAAACAAAGCCGAAGACACAAGCTTGAAGATGATGAATGAGTCTTCATCGAAATGTCGCCTAGATATTTCCAATTTTACGCGGGAGAAAACCCGAATAACCAAAGATCCATATATACATACATGCATACATACACACACATACATATACGTGTGTGTGTGTGTGTGTGTGTGTGTGTGTGTTTTCTTAAGTTTTCGCGGGTACTTACATGTATGGTATTCAGCTTTGTTCGGGTATTTTCCCACGTCATTATAGTTGTGCTTTTAAAGTTGTAGTTAAAGACGTGGGAAAATACCTGAACAAAGCTGAATACCATACATATAAATACCCGCGAAAACTTAAGAAAACACACACACACACACATATATTCTGGTGAAAATATAAATCCAAAAGATACTTTGTTTACATACATGTGGCATCTCAAGCAAAAGAATTTCATATTCAGCTATTAATTATGAACATTAAATCAAAATTCAGTCAAACATTTTGGTGACTATTACAGGGACTCATTAGTTTATGCACTGTCTAGACCTGACAAGAAAACCATAATATGGAGACTTGGTAGACAAATTTGACTAGGAAATATTTCTTCAAACATAGTATTATGGACCAGTCAAGAAATGTTCTGTGTTCCAAATTATCTATTGTATTTTTTTCAAATTCAGATCACTGCATAGCTTAACTGCTCACTTGGATAAAGCCTTTTTGTATATAAGAAAAAATAAATATTATACTGTATTTTAACTAATACAAAGGAATATTGAGTTGTATGCTAATCATTTGTATTTACCTGAATAATGGCTGCATCAATACAGATCTGGAGAGCTGTAAATCCATACCGCCAGTAGGTTTCAGCTTCACATATCTTGGAAGGATTTGGACAACTGGCTGTAAAAAATTTAAAAAAATTTTTTTTGCTATCTAACTATTCCACTGACTTCAAATTAAATATCCAGCAGGTATAATCTCCATTTACAGTATATTGGAATGATTGCATGACTTTAAGGAAACAAAATAGCTGGAATGTTTTTAAAATATATATGGAATCTATGCATCTTTGAATGTATCTAGAAGTAATTTTGTCAATTGAGTAATAAATTATAAAACAGAATTTTACAAAAGATCGCTCCTATGTCTGAGGAAAATCAAATATTTATATATACATTTAAATACCTCTTGATTCCACATGAATTGCAGAAACAGGAACCTTTGCAGGAGGAAATCTGAGTTGATAGGACATAGAATCCTTAAAAATTACACCCACAAAGTTTCGGGGACTACGAAATGTAGCCTCTTGCATTTCTTGCTCAGTCAGAAATTCTTCAGTAGTGATTCCTATAAAAGACAAGTATTTTTTTTTCTAATTATTTTATCTCCGAAAATTTGTACTACCTTGTTTCTCTGACAATACGCCCCCCCATAGGAAGGCCCAGCATGTTTTCTAGGCATAAGGTGAAATTAAGCCCCTCCCCCAAAATTTAGGCCAATTTAAACCGTGTGTTCCCTACCATTTCTCACATCACTTGAACTATATGAGGTGAAGAGAAATGGGGGGGAAGGGCAGGAGGGGAAACTTGCCTTTAGGAGCCTCCCGCAGGTAGCCTTGGCTAGAGTACCCCATGGGCAGACTCGCCTCTATCGGCCCATAGAAGCACCCCGCAGACAGAATCACCTCGCCACGAGGCCACTTCTATTGGCCAATAGAAGCTCCTCGAGGGCAGAGTCACCAGCCGCTTCTATCGGCAATAGAAGCGGCCTCCTGGAGCGCCCTGCGGGCAGCCATGTCTCACCATGAGGCCACTTCTATTGGCTGATAGAAGCGCCCCGAGGGCAAAGTCACCAGCCACTTCTATCGGCCGAAAGAAACGGCCTCATGGCGAGGTGAGTGCGCGTGGGGCGCTCTAGGTGGGGATGCGCGTGGGGGGAGGAAATTAAGTCACCCCCAAAAAGATGGCCTAGCCATTTTTGGGGCTCAAAAAAAAATAATAAAGCCTGGCCTTATTTTGTGAGAAACACAGTAATACAAGTGTCATCTTATCTGTAACTGTCTCATTTGTTAACCGTATAATTTGTTTTTGTTTACATATAACATTGAGCCTAAAATATATCTGAAACTATTGATGTCAACTTACATTTTTAAGTCTCTATTAAAAGTGTAGGATCTTTTAGATGAAGAGAGTAATGTGTATTTGCAAAATACAGAAGTTATTTCAAGTGGATCAGTTTAAGTCTATAAAATAGAATTTGGTGTAGGTAGTCCTTGACTTACAACAGTTTAGTGACTGTTTGAAGTTACAACAGCACTGAAAAAAATGACTTACAACAGTTTTTCACACTTATGACTTTTGCAGCACCCCCATGGTCACGTGATCAAAATTCAAACACTTGGCAACTGACTCATATTTATAACAGTTGCTGTATCCTGAGGTCATGTGATCACCTTTTGCAACTTGACAAGCAAAGTCAATGGAGAAGCCAGTTTTACTTTAACAACCATGTTACTAAACTTAACAATTGCAGTCATTCACTGAACAACTGCGGCAAGAAAAGTTGTAAAATGGGGCAAAATTCACTTAACAATTGTCTTGCTTAGCAACAGAAATACGTCAAGGACTACTTATATTAAAAAGCATGGGTTTTCAACACAGACTGCATTATGGCAAGATTCTTTCATTCATGAGGAACAAAGGCATAAGAACATTCTCCTTGCCAGTGCCAAGTAGAATGAGGTTTAGCTCCATTGGATACATATCCAGTGGTTCTGATCCTCGCTGTTAGGGGGCATTAATCTATTTGTTTTGTTCACATGGAACCTGCTGAACTTTAAGAGAAATTTGGATCTGCAGCCTTTCCTTTCTATTATCAGATACGTTAGAATATGGCTTTTATTATTTGTTTTATGTATTTATCACATTTGTATCCCACTCCAATCACAAGAACTTCAATGGCTCACAAAGAGTACGGGATGGTTGATTCATTTGGGATACCAGTAAGAGGCATATGGCTAGAATAAGCTTTAGAAGGAAAATCAAAATAAACAAATGGGTGTTAATATAAAAGAATATTTATAAATATTTAATATGAAATAACAACATGCATGCTATTATATGGAAATAACATGTTTAATCTATTTTCCTAACTGAATTTTCCTAGTAAATACCAGAGAAAAATATAAATATTTGGGAGAACAGAAGAGTTTGTTTATAATACCTTCTGTAAAATATTCTGCAGACATTTTGTGCATGATTTTTCTCGTCATATTGTTCACAGGTGTGTAGCCAACAACAAACTCAGAGATAATAGAGTGATCCACAGAATAAAGATCAGAATCAGGTACCTCATCATATTTTTTGTTTGGATACATCATGCTCAATAATATTAACCAGAATAAAAAGAAAAGTGGAAGCAGTATTTCCTGCACAAATAAAATCAACATGTTAAATGGGTAACACTCAGAAACAGCCACTTACAGCTGTGTATCATACTCACTGAAACAGAGACTCTTCTTAAAAACCTATTTAACATTATTTCAGTATTTAAACATTACATATATGGATATTTGTATACTATTCACTAATCCTTCCTACTATTCTCCATGTGATTAGAGAGCTTTCTCTTAACTATAAATCTAGACTTTTTCAAAATCTAGAGCTGAAGAAGGGACAGGGTTAATTTCCATTCTCTTGCAGGATGGGATTTGATATAACTGGCACTTACTGGACACTAGTATATGGGCTCAAAGATAAAATCTACACTCTGGCAACAACAAATTTTGATTGGCCAGTACAGCAGGCAAAGTTTGCTAGATTAATATACTTATAAAATTAAAATAGAACATGAGGTCATCTGCAGTTTGATGCCCTTTTATAGTCTTAGCAATCATGTTTTCCCTGGCAAATATGAACTACATTTGATAGAACAGATCATTAACAAATATACAAGAAGAATCACATGTGAAAATTTCACACAGATAGGTATTTCAGTGTGTGCAAAAGACTAAGACTAATATGAACATAATGTTTCAGCATGCATTATTCAATCACAACTACATACTTGATACCAGGAAATGAATAATTGTCCCACTGTCTAAGTGCAATATTGCTGAAAGAGGAGCTTAATTTTCATTTTTAAATCATCCTAACTCAAGACTGGAGTTAGTCTATATCTTGTGCCCAACAAAAATGGATATGCTTAATCTAATAAAGCAAAATGATGTTCTTTACACTCTAGTTTGTCTACAGTATGTCTCAGCATCTTAATCTGTTTTTATTTTTTATTCTAACAGAAATAAAAAGACAGAAAGAAAGGCCTTAGTTCACATGATTAATCCAGTATTAATCCGATAACATACAATATATATTGAGATTTTTATTGTCATATAGTGGTATATAAAAATATTTTTGAATATTTGAATTCTACCCTCTTCTTTTTGTGAGGTTCATGTAAGTATAATATTGAAGCCTGGAAAAGATCCTGTAGAAAGGCATAAGCTAATCCATGCTTTCTTTAAATATTGTTTACAGTTCTGGAATTCAGAAACATATTACCTACAATTCATCCTGTACAATTTGGCTTTATAAAAGGCTATGCCTTTTAAGAGTAAGCTCCAGATAATACTAGACTGCTAATATTTTAAAAGTAAAATCAGAAAAACTAGATTGTCAAGTAATTGCTTCACTGGATGTAGAAAAAGCCTTTGATGTGGTATAAACTTTTAATATGTTTTTCTGAGATATAGATTCCCCCCATTATAATTTCTTGAGTTAAAATATACTATCTTAATCCATCTATTTGTGATTGCAAATGGAATTATTTTTTCTCTTAAATTAAAATATCTCAGGAAAGGTTTTATTTCCTCTCATTATTTATTTATTAAATTTATATGCTACCCATCTCGCCTAGAGGCAACTCTGTGAAACTTAAAAGACATAGTTTAATTGATATATGAACCGCTGGCTTATTTTATTACACAGTTAAAGTATATAAAATGTTTGGAGTTGAATATTCTTACATGTTTAGGATATTTTGAGTCTTACTGATAGTTCAATGTTCTTTATTTAAATTTCTCAAAATTACTCAAAGGTTTGGTAAATTATCAGGTTAATCCATTCAGTGGAATAAGACATACAGTATCTAGTTTCAATTGTATCCGAGTATCTTGGGAAATTTGTAAAAAACAGAGACCTGTTCATATTAATTCTCTTAAATACTGTACTTTTGAATCATTGTTCCTACAGAATATCATTTTTAATTTAAAGGTGTTCAGAATGGCCAGAATGCTAGCAAAGGTGATGGTTCTGAAATCTACAAAGGCTTTTTCAGCAGCTGCAGAAAAAGGCAAAAGTAAATTGACCTGTGTGTGGTGATGCAGGAAGAGTGGGGGAAGCTCCTAGCCATGGAGGGGTAGGGAAAAAGCCCTACGTTCCTTCAGCTTTTCATGTACCAGTGAGCCTGTAGCCACCTGAGATCTCTTGGTCCATGGGACATTTCCACAAGCCAATGGCACAGGGCTTCCCAGCGCTTCTCCCACCCCAAGGCATCCCCCCATGATCACTTAATGAGCTGCACAATCACTTAATGTCCACAACTGGGAGAGTTGGGATTAAAGTACTTGAGCAAAGCGTTCACGTGGGCATCTCACTTAACAAGTGCTTCACTCAATGCCCAAGATTCCTGTCCCAACTATTGTTGTCAAGTTGAAGATTACAAAGTCAAGTTGAAGAAGACTGTACAAATATTAAAAAAATTGCAGATCAACTGACCTGAACGCTACTCTTCTTGGTTCTCCATTTAACTAAGCAATTCTTATAAAAAAGAGCTCTTGTTTGTCGCCACACTCCTTTTTGTCTTGAAGCATCTGTAGACATTTTTGCATCTGAAAAGCAAAACAATTACATGTCTCTTTTAAATGTATGCCCCCCCTTTAAGTCAATTAATTTGTTTTAACCATAGTATCATTCAATATACTTAATGATATTACTAATCACTATATTAAATGGATACATTTCTGTGAAATAAGATCTTTATGTGTTTCACTATCCAAAAACAAATCCTATATAAACTTCTATTAATTCTCTTTAAGTGATATCAAGTAGGTACAGGATGATAATCCAAATGCTTCTCAGATAAATTTTAGGAAGTCTTACCTGCAAATATATTGCTGCTCTAAATACAAAACAAGCAATCCTCGATTTATGATCATTCATTTCAAAGTTACAACAGTGCTGAAAAAAGTGACTTATGACTGATCATTTGCACCTATTGCAGTGACCTCAGTCACATGATCAAAATTCAGGTGCTTGGCAACTGGCATTTATTTGCAACAGTTGCAACATCGAGGAGTCACATGATCAACATCTGCAACCTAGTCAGGAGCTTCTGAATAGCAAAGCTATATTTGCTTAATGACTATGGTTATTCACCTTACAGCTGTGGCAAAAAGGAATGTTGAATCAGGCATGACTTACTTAACAACTGGATCACTTAGTGGTGGAATTTCCAGTACCACTTGTGATTGTAAGTAGAAGACTACTTATTTTTTTCTTAATTGCAAATGAAGTATTAGCTTAACATATTCGGATAAAGTCTAGGATGTATACAATTACTATTTGCTGTCAGTTTCTATTATTAAATTTGAATTTGTCCAAATCTTAAACTATGGTTAATATGCCCAATTAACTCTTTTAAAAAACCAAAATTACATGACTCACTGTTGTACAAAATAATTTCCCAAAGTTAATCATGGCAACATTTTTGCTTTTAAACTATTATTTGTATGTATCTGCATTTTACTGACAATTTCATATTTGTTATTTGCAATAGCAATAGCAACAATGCTAGATCAAATAAAATCTGGTACTTCCCCCTCCCCCTTTTTTTGTCATTGAGCATGGGTGTGTGAACCAGCCCAAAGATAGCATTGCAACATTAAGCATAAAAGGGAATATTCAAATGCAAAATGTTGAAATCAGAATACTCGCATATAATTTATATATTTTATAACTATCATAATACTCTCAATAAAAATAGGGTTTATAAATTAAATACATTTTATTGCATTGTTTTTCTGCAACTGATGCTACTCAAATTATGTTCATATTTCAAAGTCTTTGATATGAGTGCCCTTTTTGAAATAGAGTGGAAAAGTTAGAATTTACAGCAGCGTTCTTCAAACTTGACAGCTTTAAGACTTGTGGACTTCAATTCCCAGAATTCTTCCTTTAATCATGTTAGCTCAGGAATTCTAGGAATTGAAGTCCACAAGTCTTAAACTTGCCAAGGTTGAAGACCCTTGATTTACAGCCTAAATGAACATTCAGTGTCAAAAACTTATCATTGATCACCTTGTGGAATAACCTACAGGAAAACGGGGTGTGGGGGTGGAATGTGTCCCTACTGATATTCCTGGATCTGTGTGTCTTCTAATATGACTTACCATGGTGTCATTTTGGAATACAGAAATCAACTGATTTGTAATAGTTCTTATCTCTTTCATTACTATCAGGAGATGATACTGGCCATCATCAAATTCTGATCACCCATATTATGTAACATCTATATGAACATGCTGGCAACTATCCTTTGCAGTGCTGCACAGGAGCTATTTGTCAGCTTTATACTGATGATATTCAGCTTCATTATGTACAACCCTAATTAGTATGTGAATCTAAGTTCAAATACTTGCAGCCTATATGTAGATTCAGATATTCATGTAAATCTACATCTATTCTCAAATGTTAAAATTACTGAAGAGCACATAATCTTGCAAAAGCATATAATCTAATCTAGTGGGCCTTCTTTCTCTGTTAAAATCTACTACCATGTAATTCATTTTGACAAGGTTAAAGGGTTTTCTACTGAAAATACTGAGTGATAATGGCTCATTTCTTAGTAGTGTGGAAAATAATAAATTTAATGTTTTGGAAGGGTATCTCTTTTTGAGATAGAAATGCTTACGGCTTCTTAAAACTGTACTATACTGAAATATAGTAGTGTACTGTACGGAAATAAAAGCACTCAATCATTTATCTTTATTAAATAAAGAAACACAGTAATGGCACTAAGCATGAGATAACATGGTATGAAGCCTGTTAGAAATAAACTGAATGTTATGAAACATGTAAATTAACACTACAACTTGACCTGATAGTGTTGTACTATTGTGCTTGACTAAAATATCTATTAAACACAATGTATTCAAAAACAGTAATTTTTTACTTTACTGTATGTTTTAAAAATTAAAAAACAAAGTAAAAATATCTATTTCAGGACATTTCAAACACCAGTTAATCACAAAATCTGAAATTGCAAAAGGGAAATAGATACAGAATTTAATGTGAAGGTAAAGGAGAAAGAATTTTTAAAAATCGTGGAAATATATAATTATTTTTTAAAACTCAGGGAAATTTGACCAAATTACTTGAAAATCCCTCTCCCACAGTGAATTCCCATCTACTCCTTTGCAAAACTATTGATACCACTGAAGTTTTCCTGCCCTCAGCATTTAGATCCAGTGCTAAGAAAGTAGCAACTGAAGTTTATCTATTCTAAGAAGCTAGGAATGATGACTCATAGAAGGCCCCCTGCACTAAGCTTCTGCAGAATGACATTGTTTTTGCTCTTCCAGTATCATGCCAAAGCAATGCTTGTTGAAAAGAGTGCCAAAGAGAAAATATGTAATTATTGGGGGGGGGGGGATCTCACCCATATAAAATAGCTGCCCTCCCGAAAAGAAAAACAATTACCCAAACTAATTGTTCCAAGTTTAGCATGCTTGTATTTTTCCACAGGTCAAAATCAAGCTCCAAGTTCTTCCACAGACTTCAAGCAAATAAAACAGAGTCATTCTGAAGTCTGGAAAAAGAAGGCCAGTAAGACCAATCTTATGAAAAACTGTGCAATAAACTAGATCTAAAATTAGTCTACCAACAGGATAGAATTAGTGAATTAAGAAATGCATATATAGTATAGCATTGTATCTATGTGCATCTCTTATATCCTAATCCAAAGAATAAACTTTCAATTGGATTAAATTCTTTTTAAGTATGCATAAAAATGCAGCCAGCCTTCATATCAGGTTCAAGCTGACAAGCAGGCTATACTTCTATAGTAATCTAGTCAAAGTAAAATATCTAAGAAATGGTACATGTAAATAGGCATAGATTAAAACAAAACAGTTCCAATGTTCAAGTATTTAGTATTTGTTTAGTATTTGTTTTTACGAAAGCTGAATTTAGTACTTTTTAGAAATGCATTTTGGTAATTACACTGAGAGATCTCCTTAGATGATAGAATATATTTACTTCAATAAATAACCCTCTCTACTGGCAAGTCCTCTTGTTCCTCCTGCTGAGTAGTCTATAGAGAGCTGAATTTACACAAGTAGTACCCTAATGGTACTACTGAGGTGCTATACAAGATGACCCATTATAAGCACTTTTTTCCTCATAGCACCTCCCAATTAAAGAGAAAAAGCTTATACAGAAAGCATTTGGCACTTAAATATCAAATCCTGAAACATTTATTGGCACAATATGGTAGTATACTACGATTAAAAAAAAACCTACATTTCAGAATCTCAGCTGCCTAGGGATTATCTCTCCCTGTTTTCACAATCAGAGAGAAAGGTAAACAGACAATGATAGCAGAGCACAGAATTAGATCTGGATACCAGTTCTGCTTAAAAGTGAGACAACTTATAGGAATAATTTAGTAGTTTTCAATTCAAACTCTGGGTAGTAGTGCTTATCAGAACAACTGATCCACATCAGCACATCTGTTTTTACTGTGTTGGACAGATCTTAGTCCTGGTAATTACATAATAGTTAGATTTGTTATGATTACCCACTCCAAAAGTTTCTGGGTGACTTTACAACATCAGGGTTTACAATTAAAGAGTTTACAATTAGATGACAAGGAATCATAACAATCAAGAAGCATCACAGGATTTTAAACATAAACATATTAACCCAGAATTGGTAACAGAGCCAGGTCTTAAGGGTCCTGCAAGAACAGTAGGAAAATGGGCACAGTATGTATCTCGGGAGAGGGTGAAGTTGAGGATGTATATGGGACTGCAGTCATCACACTTAAAACGAGTATGTTACAGGTTTCTAAATTTCTCAAGATTATAGGCCCCGGTTATTAAAATCTAGCTTGTAGTATCTTGAAATCTAATGAGAGACAATTTAAGTTTAACATCCTTCTTTATAGCATATCTAATCAGATACTAACCAGCTACCAACTGCTACCATAATCTACATGAAAAGGGGAATAAGTGTCAATCCAGTCATACAACATATTTATAAGAAATTTTCTCTTTCTACTTCATTTCTGTTTCTGTTTGGCATCACACAACCTAACACTAGCTTTTTAAAAAATCTGTAGAGCATTCAAAAAAATTTAGAAACTAGAAGTGCCAAATAATGATAATCTTACTGCCTTTTACAATATATTCTTAAAGGCTTATGGCATAAACCTTCAAGGACTAGAATACATTAGATAAATGAATTGTAATTGCACATAACTGTAGTGATCTGGTGGGATGCATTACAAGTAGTCCTCAATTTACAACCACAATGGAGTCCATAATTTCTGTTGCTTAACTCACTAAGTTAAGTGAGCTATGCCCCATTTTACAACCTGTTAACCACTGTTAGGTGAATCATGTGATTAAGTGAATCCCCTATTGATTTTGCTTGTCAGAAGCCAGCTGTGAAGGTTACAAATGGTGATCACATGACCCTGGGACAGTGCAACTGTCAAAAATATATGCCAGTTGTCAAGTGCCCGAATTCTGATTACGTGACCACCAGGATGCTGCAACAGTTTTAAGTGTGAAAACTGGTCATGTCACTTTTTCAATGCCATTGTAACTTTGGTCACTAAATGAATGGTTGTAAATTGAGGACTACTTGTATTATACACAATACAGCTGCCAGTTGTTTGTTGGCGTTTTATGCTTTTCATCTCTTTTCTTCATATAGACAATTAAGTTAAAAATAAATCTGTATTTTAATTTCCTTTTAAAAACTTTAAATGTCTTACATTGAACGTTCACAAACATTTTACTATATTAATTTATGTTTTCTGTTCTTCTAGAAAATACTATGCTGTGTTTTCAAGAAAGTGCAGCATAATTCAAAATCTGATGTTCTACTGGGGAAAAGGGATGGAGATAGCTAATTTTTCCCTGTCTCATTCTCCCAGTTTCTGAATTACATAATTCTTCAAGAACTCCCATAGTTTCCAAATACTTGCATTAGTTAACAGTTAACTATTCTGAAAATTAATAGTAATTCATCCTCAAATTAACATCCTCAAATTAGGTCTTTCCCTGTTTACAAATACAGACCCCTTTTCTTGTCCATAATCTGTGCAATTATATATTTGATAATTGCTGCAATTGTATTTTAATTGCTGGTAATTTGTTCAGAATAGCCTTAGGATCTATCTGAAGCAAATCATAAACTCATTCTGTACATACTGAGAAGTCCCATTTGTCATCTCATAATGAACAATGCTACCCCTAACACATATTTGTTGTTCAGATTTCTTATTGTTTGGATCTAAATACTCACTTTTCTCTTTGACTTCCCTACCTGTACGGTATACATTACACAGCTGCTAGCAATGCAATACATGTAACAACACAGGCTTAATGATGCTCTGAGATGAGTAAACAGAGAGTCAAGAAAAAGAGAATGGAATGGGGAAAGCACCCCATGTCTCACCCATGAAGCCCCTCACTTAGACAGGCACCGTCTCAGGCAACCGGAGATCTACACCTCGACCAAAAGACAGCTTGTCACACGATCACCACAGCACGCGCTGCGTCGTGGGTCAACAGGCAAGGGACATCTGACACCCGCAGCTCTTGCTGATTAGCTCCTCAATAATTGACCACGCCGAGCGAGAAACACCTGCGGCCAAGCGAAGCAAAAGCCGGCTGTCTTCCTGCATTCAACCGAGCCCAAAGAGGCTTCGGGAAAGCCTCTCGTTCCTCCTCCTTCTCCCCCCCCTTTGTCGTGCCGCACCTCTCCCGCCTTTATAGCGTGCCGTTGACTCCCGCCTCTGCTCCCCACTCCCTTCCCTCCCGGGCAGCCTCCTTTGCTTTCTCTTCACGCCCGTCTCGCCTTCTCCGACCTCTTCCAGCCCGCCTCCCACCGCACTCCTGCTCTCCGGGGCCGCAGGCAGAAAGCAGCCACAGCCCACAGCCTTTTCCTCCCCGCTTCCACCCAGACAGCCAACTTCACCTCAAGCCCGCCTGGCCGCGACTGAACTGCATGCAGTGGGGGGATGTATACGAGGGCTCGTCGCCGCGGCTGGTTCTCGTCAACCCGGGCCTTTCGGCGCCCGCGAGACCAAAAAAAAAACAAAAAACCGAGCCGCCTTAAGCTTCCCGCCGGGAAAGGTGCTTTCGTTACTCTCCACGGAGCTGTCGGCGGCAGGGATTGCAGCAGCCGAGGACTCCCCTTCCCTCCGAGGAGCCGTCGCTCCCGTCCCTCTCGCTTTGTTTGGTCTTCGGAGGAGAGGAGGGAGCGTCGCCAATGGCGGGAGCAAGTTTCCGCCAGCAGAGCCAGTCTCTGTCTGTCTGCCTGTCTCCTCCGCCTCCCAACCCTGGAATAGCTAAAGGCCGGCCAAAAAAAAGGCGGGGGGAGGAGGGGACGTTAAAAGGCAATAAACATATTTGGGGAATGACGCGTGCACCTAGCGCGAACGATGTCATTATTCCAGCTTGTGTCATAAGGCAGAGCTTTCTTCGTAAGACGGTTTTCTTCACATCCACCGTCACGTCCGCAACAGCTCCTTCTTCCTAACTCTTGCCCAATGTTGTTCTGCGCCGCGAAAAAAATTCAAAATTAATAAAGAGGTTATCCCAGTAAACGTTCCTCTTTCGCGAGCGACAAGGCATCGGAAGTTAAACGTGTGTACGCCGAAGAGGATTCAGCAGAAGGGATTTAATACTCAATGCGGATGCCCTAGATATGTCTAGCGAAAATAAAGTTCCTCCCGTCGACTTCACTGGAACCCACTCTCCCGAGCGGACGAGAAGATAAATTTCAGCCTAAAAAGGGTGTGGATCACGATCCCTTCTGATTGTGTGCACATGGAGGAAAACGAATCGGTTATTCCTAAATAAGGACGCAGGCTTGGTAAACAGATTACAGTCAGTGTATGGACTACTGCATGTTGATGAACTCCTAGCAGCCCTGGATTCACTGGGGAGTATGTTGAGTTCTGCCACATCTGAGAAGTCACACGTTTTCCACCTGTGCTTCATAACTATCCAATAAAGTATAATATAAGTGACAAAAATACCTTGAAGCAAAAGTTCCTACAGTGATGGCTTCCTTGTCTCTTTCTCAGGAAAGGGTACTACAGATAGTCCTTGACTTAACAACAATTCAATGATTGACAGTTTAAAGTTACAGCGGCACTGAAAAAAGTGACCTGACCATTTTTTTCATAGTTACTTTTGTACCATCCCCAGGATCATGTGATCAAAATTCAGATGCTTGGCAACTGGTTCAGACTTAACTACCCTTGCAGTGTCCCAGGCTCATGTGATCACTTTTTGCAACCTTCTGACAAGCAAAGTCAATCGGGAAACCAGATTCACTTAACAACCAGATTAGTAATTTATCAACTGCAGTGATTCACTTAACAACTGTGCAAGAAATATCATAAAATGGGGCAGAACTCAATAAATTTTCACTTAACAAATTTTGGGCTCAATTGTGGTTGTAAGTCAATGACTACCTATTGTAAATTACAGGGAGTCCTCAGTTTATCACCACAATTTAGCCCAGGGGTCTCCAACCTTTCACCTTCCCTGGGCCATATTAGAAGATGAAAATTTGGTTTGGGCCACACATAAAATAAAATAACAGTAACGATAACTGATCATCCAAAAAAACCATAGAAAACATAGTTAACATATTAAATTTATTTGGAAATGAAGTTAGTGAGATGTTTTTATTATTTATTATTAATTATTAATTAAAAAATATTTATTTTTTATCACGGTTTTTTTTTCGGCCAAATTTTGCGGGGGGGGGAGGGGGGAAGAAAGCTCGCCCGCCTCGCGCCTACCTCTCCTCCTGCAAATGGTCCGGCTGGATGAGGCAGGACTGGAAGGCAGAAGCAGCAGCGATGGTGGGGGAAGAAACGGCGGCGGCAGGGGCAGAAGCGGCAGCGGCGGTGGCGGCAATAGCAGGAGGTGGCGCTCTGACGGCACCCACCTTTTCTGTTGCTGCTTGGCGTGGCACTCGCCTCGCCCCACCTCGCGCCTGCCTCTCCTCCTCCTCCTCGCTGGCTCTGGCACGAAGATTGGGGTGGGCACTGGGCCGCATTACGAGGCGACCTGGGCCGCATGTGGGCCATGGGTTGGACAAGCCTGCTTTAAACAGTTACTAAAGGAAAGATGTAAGATGTGAACTATCTATTACAGTATATGTAATGTTTTACCTGTAATATTTTATCTTCTGTGAGGGAAATTAATTGTTTTAACATTTGATAAATAAAAGGATATATTTATTTAAGGTAAATTAATATTTACCTTAATTTCTTTTTTTTAAAATATGCTTTTGGTTTGGTTTTGTTTTTTTGTTTTTTGTAATGTATTTTTTATTTATTTTATTTTGTCAGGCAATTATAAGATAACAGATATACATATAAACATAGCTATTAATACTTGAAATGGATACATATAAGAAAAATAAAAGACACAATAGGACAGGGACGGGAGGCACGTTGGTGTGCTTATGCACGCCCCCTACAGACCTCTTAGGAAAGGGGTGAGGTCAATAGTAGACAGTCTAAGGAAAGTTTTGGGGGTTTGGGGAAGAAACCACAGAGTCAGGTGGAGTATTCCAGACACTGAACACTCTGTGGCTGAAGTCATATTTCCTACAATCAAGTTTGGTGCGGTTAACCTTGAGTTTGTAAAAGGCCTTGAAAATTAAAATGTGGTTCTAGAATTGGCTAATTCTGTGAAATGAAGTCTAAATATGTGAAAGGCATTCAGATTGGGAGACTATAGTACATAATATCACAGTCTAGAAATGTCTTTCATGTATACAACCATAGTTTGAAGAGATTTCAATCTCGTATAGGCCAAATATATTTTAATAATACAATTAAGCATTGCATTAATATGATAGCTGTTTTGACTTTCTATTATTTTTCAAATATTCATTTGTAAAATTACTTTCAAATAATAAAATTCTTAATTTGAGTTTCTTAACTTTTTACATTTTTTTACCATATCCATTTTATCTAACTCTTTCATCACACTTTTATCATTCGGTAATTCGGTTTTTCATCAGACACTCAGAAATAATTTAGGGGGATACAGAATAATTTTTGAAACAGATTAAATCTTTAAAACATCTTGTAAATGATAAAACTAATAACAAAACATCTGTTTTTTTTTTCAAGAAGGAATTGAACAGTGTCCTTTTTAAAGTTCCATATAAGCTGTTTATTTTATTTGACTTTTGTTATTGTTTCCTTCTCTTTATCCCTTATTTGTTTTATTCTAATCTGTCTTAATATTTTGTTTATTTTATTAGCTTTATTTGAAAGTCCCTGTAGTATAAGTAAGAAAAAATAGAGACACAGAACCAGTCCTGGAACTTTAAAAAGCAGCAGAGGCAGCAAAACAACCAAACATTAATTACCTTCTTCTTACCTCAAAAACTTCAACTGTAGCTTTAATCTCTTAGAATTCTGTAAACAGATTCAAACTGCATCAAACTCCCTTTGTAGTGAGGGTGACATATTCCTGTGGAGTGATGACTTCCAGGAAAATATTGCCTGTAACAAGCACACTGCAAATTTTGACGCTAATATTTGGTTCTATGCCTCCAATGAGATTGTAGCCGATGAGTTAAATAATACCTCCTGAACACAGCTCCTTCAGAATTTTTGGTTAAACATTGTCTGTTAACTGCTCAGACTATAATAGCCTTGTCTGAGCAATTAGCAATTATCTCTGTAAAATTTAATGATTTGAAGAAACTGTTTGATGCCTACACAGGATGGTTACCAGAGATACAGAAAACAAATTACTCTCAGTGAGTTTTTGTGCTGATTATCCCACCAACTGATTAGTAGTCTGAAAATAGCAAATCTTCTGGTCCTTCAAGCCCAAACAATAAAAAGGATTCTCTCCTCATATATCAACATAATCAGTTCTTTCTGTCTGTTGTAATAACATTAATGGAGGAAGATAGGCTTCCAGAGGCTCTGTTTGTTTTTCCTTGTGCCAGCTATTTTCATTGCCAGCCTCATGCCATTGATTTTGTTCATATTAACTGGCTTCTCACTATGAACGGAAATTAGTTGTTTTCAGCAATTTAATAATTTGTTGATTAAAGTAAGGACCTTTCCCACACATTTAGAATGATCTCCATTTGGATATTCTCCAATCAGAAAGTGAAATCTATCTTAAATAATATTTCAACAGTTTACACACTCCAAACTGTTGTGTCTAATTTGGACAGTAGCCAACTTTCTTCTTTCTTATCCCTGATGTTAGGGAGTATAGCAGAATGTTCTACCAACCCAAGGAAAATACAAGTTGGTCCTTTTCAAAGTAAACTCTTCAATGTAACAGCACTGTGGTTGAAAATGAATAGAGATGTTATTCAAAAATTCTAAATTTAATAAATAATCAAAGGATATGCACAAACAATGACATTGATCCAAAAGTCTGCTAAGCATATTGCTCTAATATATATCAATGAGCATAACAGTAATAGAAAAAGGCAATCAAGGACAACAGGGAATTGATCAGATTCTGAAGACACTATCCTTTTATCAAATATAATTCTGACTTTTTGTGGACATGAATCTTCACAATGTAATTCAAATGGATATCTTGTTTAATAAAACACAAGTTGACTTTCTTTCTCCAAATAATGCCCTAGATCGGGGTGTCAAACTGGCAGCCTGCCGGTTGGATGCATCACACACAAGCCACACCCACTCCAGCTCCGTGAATGGGAAAAAAATCACGAAATGTCATGTGACAGCAATATGACACAGTGAGTTTGACACCAGTGCCCTAGAAAGACAAGAGGAATTACATATGGCACCAGTTAATGGCAATAATAACTTCCACCATGAGCATGCTAACATCACTGGAGACTTTCTACAGGAGAGGAGCAGGTAAGATGAAGGATATAGTACCATATATCAGACAGGAAACATGAGGTAGACCCTGACATACGACACTTGTTTAACAACAATTTGAAGTACTGCCCATAAAGCACTTCCAGCTGTTGTAAAACACTATACCACCCCCATCCCCCGAATTACATAGTCAATATTTTAGGTGCTTGGCAACCTGTTCACACTTATGACTGGTAGCCAAGGCCCCACAATCACGTGAATGCCTCAAAAAAAAAATTGCAATTTTCTCTACCAGCTTCCACAAAAAGTCAACGGGAAAGCTGGCAGGGAAGGTTGCAAGCTGCTACTGCCTGCCAAGGATTTCATCTTGTCTCTTGGAGGCTGGATGAAAGAGCTTTTTGCCAAGTGGGCTGCTGGGTTGCATCCATGTAAGCAGGGATTGGCATCAGCTAAACAATGTCCTCATTAGGGAACTACCAAGGGGAAGCTATACTCCCACTAACACTGGCAGGGCAAGTTATTCTGTATAAATAAGGTAAAGGTTTCCCTCGCACATACGTGCTCATTGTTTCCAGACTAAGGGGTGGTGCTCATCTCCG